CCGCAGTCACAATACATTATTAGTCAGATCAACGATCTTACAAGCAAAACGGTCAAGCGAAAACTCTGATTTCTGTATGTAAGAAAGATTTTCTGTATGTATTATGTTTTGTACACAATGATTTATATAGTGCAATTACAAGAAACCCTAGCCGACTAACCAAGAAACCCTAATACAGTTTCCTTTTATATTACGTATATTCTATCACTGTAGAGGGGAAAACGTGGATTTTTTTTATTTTTTATTTTTGTAATATTTACGTTTGTAAATCGGTGTTAAACTTTTCATGAGTCAATGGTTTAAAACATGCATATAGTAATTAACCTTTTAAGCTGGTCATGACTAACATATGTAAATGCGTGCTACTACTGTGTTTATATATATAATATGATTATCGATATCATTTCATTGTTCATATATAATATCGTTTATACTTAAGTTCTATCCGTTTAAGTAGTGTTTGTGATAATTGTAACCCAAAATAAAATAAATAAATAAACATCGTGTCTTCAGTAGCGACACAAGATAACATTTAACTTAACATACATATTAAAAGTACAAAAGTACAAATCATCACATTATCGGCAATGTGATTTGCCAAAAGATGATTACATGCATGTTCCTGATTCAAAACTCAACGTAGCAAACCACAAACAGTACAACAATTACAAACAAAGACACACAAACACATTGATCAAGACGAGAAATACTAGTCAGTCTTCTTATCTGATAGAATATATAAATATGAAAACCTTAATTAGGGTTTCCGATAATCACGGCTAGGGTTATTGTAATATTGTACTATATATATAATGTTATACACATGTAATAAGACACGAAAAATATTCTTTCACCATCCTTACATTTATTTCACGAATACAACATAATTTAACTTATAAGGTGGTATACGTAGGATTGAAGTAAAACTGTATATACATCCATGCAAATATGCATACACGAATAAATGCCCTAGCTAGTTCGGTAGTTCCCGAGGGCAGGACTGAACTGATTAGCAGCGAGCATGAAGATGTTCAAAGTGTTGTCAAGAAAAGTGGTTTCAACAAACTTGATCGGTGATGTCAGGATTGAAACTGAGGACAAACTGGCGTTTCAAGCTGAAAGTGGAGCTGTTACAACAACGCTGCAATTGCTAAGCAAAGAATTCATCAACGATGGTTTCAACTGAAATTGAAACTCTCCCCTAAAATCTGCTCTTGTAGTAGCTACCACATCTCCATTGTTTTCACATTGCACTTGCGTTTAGGAATAAGATAACTTTACTAACCTTAGAAACCCTAGGTTATATAGACTAATTACCAATCGATCAGGCAACTCTTCTTCTTCGAAGGAGGAGGGATTTTTGGGTTTTCTAGAGTTTTTGGCCATTTGGTGGTCCTTATTCCTAAACGCAAAAACTCTTGACTTTAATAGCTCTTTTTTTTTTTTTTTGGTAAACTTGACTTTAATAGCTTTAATTTGTCTTATGATACAGGAAGAATACTGAAGAAGCTTGCTCTCTTGCCTGTCCAGCCAAGTTTCACGTACACCAGTAGTATCGATTAGTCATTAAAAAAAAAAGTGCTTTTAACTGGAAATCTTTTCGAAACCAAAATAAATTATTACTTCTTCAGCCCAAAAAAGAGAATCTAAACATAATTATGAAAATGATTACGTGCGGATGAGTTTGTTCAGTTAAATCTTCTCAGAGTCTTTCTAAATCAAGAAAAAAAAGTTTTGCTCAAACCTTTACAATCGCATAACAATCATTGAGGATGCACATGCACTTACATAATGGGAATGCGTTGGTGACTTAAATTTCCTTGCTAGTGGGAATGTGTTAGTGAAGACATTCAAGTTGTCATTAAAAAAAATCATCAATTAAATGAAATATATTTATTGACTTATAGTACACGTATATTATAACCTTACTTATACACAAAAGGCTCAACTTTTAAGGTGGCTTTCGTTGAAACTTCAGAGAAAGTATCACTATTTTTATTTTTATTTTTTAAAAAGAAGAAATTATCACTAATTTAAGGTGTAATGGTTTTTAGATGAATAGGCATTTATACGCATCTATAAGACTATCACTAATTTAAGAAATATTTATCACTAATTAACCCCTTGGTTTTTTCTTTTCAAAAAAGAAAAGATCGGTCTCATTTGTAATACTTTTTTTAGTTATAAAAAAAATGTAGGATAAATTTGACTCTTTTTTTTTATTTCTTAATTCTTTTAGTTTAGACGACAATTTAAAATGGCAAGGGCCGGTGACAAATTCTTTTTTGTTATAATTGAGGAAGTATCTAAAGTTGATGGTTCGCAGATGGGAAAAAAATCTTTAACACTATAATATTTCATCTATTCCAAAAAATCAACATGAGCTATACAAGATCTTATTCTTTTGTAAGCTAGGGAACAATTTAGCCGTCAATTTCTTTTTCTTTTCAATTTATATGTTTTGAAGTTTAATTGATGGTGAATTCTGCTAACATGCAATACTATGAGAATCATACCATGTGTGTAGTGCGGTAGTACTTTAGGCTTTCTAAAATCGAGTAATCGAATTGAACTTCATCTGTTGTGAAGCAGGGTTAGTTTTACATAAAAAGGAATCGTATTACAATTACGATATCCCAAAATTATTATTCAGTTTGAAATTTCACTTTTAGTATAATTTGAACTAAAAATGAAAACCTAAACTAGACAATAATTATGGGACGGGGGGAGTATCATTATGAGAAAAGAACGTTGTTTTACAATGTCACATGATAAACCGAAATTAAAATGGTGACAAAAGATTTTGTAAATGTTTAGTCCTTTTCGCCTGCTGTGATCTCTTCTATTCATTCTTGCAAACATACCATGAAACAAGGGTACGAGGCCTGTTCTTCAGAAGTTGAGATCACCTTTTAATTGGTCTTTGACATCATTGCTTCATTTGCTTGATATAAAAAATAATTATTATTCTTTCCGTTTTAGAAAAAAAAAACACACACACACATTTCTTTGATTCAATAAATTATAGTGTATATTTTTTGGAAGGGACAGAAATCTAAATTAATGACACAACTATTTAAGAAGATGAGATGGATCTTTCATGTACGAACAAGTTTGCAACCTGAGTGGTATGTATCCAAATTGTCGGTCGTATGTACACATCTTTAAATTAGTCCTACTTTTCATTGTGCAGTTGAACAGTGATCATCAATACTCTAACTTCATAGTATATTCTTACAATTTTATAATGAAAAAAAAAATTGTAGTGCATTTTTCATAAACTAGTTATCACAAGTAAGTGACCGATTAGCTAGCTGGCAATGACATGTAATGAGAAGAGGGGTACGTACTTAACTCCGCCATTAACATTTCAGGCCCTTCAGGTAGTGCATGAGCTCTTCTAGAGAATAAAAGATGGGTAACATAATGCCAAGGATCCAGTAGATTGATAACAAGACACCCTTCTTTAAACTTGGAAAAACCCAACATCCTAAAGTTGTCTCACATCATTTGGTGCGAAGTATTGAGATCTTGTCTCACATTTGTGAGATCAAAGATGGATCATCCTTAGAGCATTTCCATTGATAGTAGAATTGGAGTACAAGGGCTAGAAGTTTTGAATGGTGTGAATATTGGAGTGAGTTTAAAGTTGGCAGGAGTTGGGTCGATTTTATGCGTAGAAACCTCCAATACTTTTTCATTGACAGTGTCCGTAAATTTTTTGACCAGTTATTCTAATCATCGAAATGCCTACTCAACAAAAAAATCGATTATTGTTATGGACAATAGACATCTTACTCTTTGTGAAATAAAATGTCCATCCTTGGATCACTGATTGTCTGATATGATATCAAAGTTGGGTTTCTTTATGTGGGCTGTTTCGGCCCGTTCAGTTTTGGGTTGTTTGAGCCCATGATTACACATACCCACGATAAGTGAATAGAAATGAAAAAAAAAAAAAAATCCTCAAAAATTTTTTAGGAAGAAACAGAAAGAACTTAAATTTGATGTATTCATAATAATCATGTCTTGTCTTTAAAGGGGTGTTAGTACCCAAATCATGTTTGAACGGTATGTTGGATGATTCTTCCGCTCCAATTCACTAGTTTTATTACAATTTTTACATAGATTAATAAAATTGAATGTGACCCCAATTTAATAGCTTTATAAAATAAAATTGATTCAACTAATAATTTTTACATTAATCTCTCTAAAATAATCTTATGCAGACATTAATAAATTGTTGATCCAAAATTTTGATGAACTCTTGAAAATTGTTGCGCTCTATTGGGAGGCTAATGAAAAGTGTATCAGCCAACTTATGAACCAACATGTTTCAGTAATTCTAAAATACCAAAACATCTCATCTCAACTCATTGGAAAAAATTGTTTCATCCTTTTAATCTTGATACAGTACTTGGTTGAGCTAAGGTTACCTTTTGATAATAAGATTGAATTTGAACTTGTTGGATGACCAAATTTGTAATGAATGTTTAATCTGATTCCCCTCTTAAAACACTCATAAAAACCACAGATTAACATGCAATGAATGTTGAATTCTTACAAACTGAAGATTTTCTCAATGAAAATATAATAAACAACGAGAAGAAAGGGTAAAGTGTAATGCAATTTTTTTTTTCCCCTAAATTTCTCAGCAGACTTTCCGATTCTCACAATCTCATTCATCCTCAGTTTATCACTCACTTTCCAAGAGTAACTGCTGAGTGCTGACATTTGTCGCCCTCTCTTCTCCAAACTCTATAAATATATTTACACCCAAAAACCAATTTCTTCAGTGTTTCTCCGATATCCCCTGCTTTATCATCGCTGTTCCACATACCCCTTTTCGCTACGTTATCGAAATTCCAACAATCCCTTCAAAAACCCTGCGATTTCCTGCCCCTTTTAGCCGTTGATTTTCATTTTTTCTTACTAAAAATCTAATCTTTCACACCCAAAATATATGGTGGTTAGTATTGTTTTTTCTTTTCTTTTTTTTGGTTTGATTTTTAATACATATTAAAAATTACTCGAAATTTGATAATGGGAAAGAGAAAGAGAAGAGTCGACCGCGAGAAGACTCCTCCTTCAGGTAAATTTTTGTTCCATTCTTTCGGTTTATCATCCGTGTTCAATAATTGTGATTTTTGGGGGGATTTTTGTGTTCCCTTCACAGTCATGTATGCTTCTTTGATCATACGAATTTCAAGTTGACTGTTTGATTGATGATTATCAAGTCACCCATTTTTGTTTAAATGCACATGCATTTTGAAGGAAAATCCAATTTTTTAAACTAAAGGGCTCCAATTGAGTGCACGATTCTGTTGTTGATTGTGCTTTTCGATTCTGGAGCCATCTCGAGCAGTATTTTGTAATAGATTGATTCTATCTTTGCTGAATTGAAAGGAGATTTTCTTGGGGGTATCAGCAATTAAGTAACAATTTGATTGGAATGATTGCATAATCAGTTTAGCGAAGATATACAGAGTTGCATGGTTTAGAGTTTTTTTTTTGTCACCAGCTAGTTGTTTATTGATTTTTATTTTTATTTAAGGTGTAAATTTGAACTTACTTTAGTGTTAATTTGTGCTTTATAATTATGACCTGAGAGAATTCTATCATTCTTTAAGTAGTTCTGTTGGGTTTGGGTATCTATTTCAAGCAATTCCCCTTTCCTTATCTTTAAGGAGTTAGAAGCACAATTTGAAGTTGTTACTAGGTGGCCCGTAATGCTTCAATGCTTCAGAGTCGGGGAAGAGTTCCATAATTCATTCATCAGCTATTTTTGAAATATTAACTGCTGATAGGAAGAAATGCTATGCTTTATGGACTCTCTATTCTATGTACTTCACAATGCGTGTCTCATTTGCATCATTTCATTGTTCTGTTAAGTGCTCGCTTTGAATCAAATAAGCATTTCTACTTTTCTGTTGTTTAATGCTCGTTTCTGTGGGTGGATTTCACTGGGGAATCTCGTGATCATATACACCAGTCCGTAAGATAAGGGTTCCTTAATCCTTATTTGAGTTGACTAAGACCTCAGGGTACCGTTCGACTGACCCTGTACATTTGTAATTTGTGTTCTGATGCATGCATTGTTTACCCTTTGATGATAGGGAATCGGGCTTTTGATGAAGTGATGCATTTCTAATACTTTTTTAATTCCTCACCAGAGTTTCTTGATGTGATTGCTGTACACTTAATATGCCAGCTGTGTGTCTTAAATGCTATAAATTATGTGATGGCTCTTAACCTTGTTAGTCCAGTTTTTGTATTACTTGTAATCTTTTCAATAAGGATTAGTATGATATATTTCTTTTCGAGTATGGTTTTATTTTGCAAAGCTCTTGGATCCCGTCATCATTCTTTGTGCTATCGTTTAGGGATGCTCTTTTTGGTTGAGCATATGACATTTCTACCATGTGCTTGCTGCAGTGAAACTTAAAATATGAAATCTATCAAAGTGTAGCATATGAAATATTCTAAGAGATTACACTTGTTCTCCTATATTGCAGATGTTTTGCCTCATTCACCACAAATGGAAGGATTGCCAGAGCAGGTAATGTCTTTCGTCCTGTACTCCAGAAGGATTGTCTTTATAACATTGGTCTGTTGTGTTTCCCGTTATCCTGCTTTCAGGATAAAGGTATCCTTTGCTGCACCTTCGGTAGCTTGTCTTGTGCTGGGGAATGTTTCTTCATCTTCTTCCTAATCATTTTTCGTTGAAATTTGCTTCTGATTTGTTTTCAGAAGTCTTCAGATCAAGTTGAAAGTAGTGCTACGGGATCCATTTCTTCCATCCTAGAAATCATTGATGAATCTAATAAGTTACCCCAAGTTTCACAGTTACAAGCCCCTCACCACCACTTTAGTCGTGCAATGCTGTATAAGAATCCTCGATACTGTAGCCGTAAGTATTACAGGAGAAACATTGCAAATCATGGTGATGCGTCAACTTCACATGCAAGTGATACCCATCCCATTGATGGAAGTATAATATTCCAGTTGGCTAATAAGTATAGTTCATGTGACTCCACGCTGCATACAGGTAAGCATCGAGTTGTTTCCTGATTTCACTGCTAACAAATCTTCTTTTATTTCGTCAGAATGAAACAGTCACAACTTTATACTAATATGGTTTGATTGATAATGAGATTCTCAGGTTGAGACAGAAGCTACTTCTAATTCTAAGTTTTGACGTTAAATAAGAATTAATCTAGGAATTAGTTTCTCCTGAAGTTCCCTTCCCCTTGTGTATTAGCATTCTTGGTTAAACAAACACTGTTACCCTCTTCTGTAATTCTTTTTGCCGTGCACAGTTTCTCACTCGTGCATTGAAACTTGTCCTTTTTTTTTCAGAGGGTTTTGATAGAGCATTTGTTAAACCAGAAAGAATAAGGTCGAGATTATTTGGAACAAGTGCAGTATCTAGTAGCGTGGGAAAGATGAGATGTGGAATATGTGAGGGGAGCTTGCGGAAGAAATTGCACTCTGCTGGAGGTGTTGGAGCTTCTAGTGATCTATCTGTGGTGGCTGTGCTGGTTTGTGGTCATGTTTTCCATGCTGACTGTTTGGAAAGGAATACTTGCAAAACTACACAAATGGATCCTCCGTGCCCCATGTGTCCAAGGCTGACTTCGCATGTTGATGCTACTGGAGAACAGAAGCGGTTGCAGACTGACTTTTCAATTAGGATCTAATTTTCAACTAAAGTTATAGGATGTTTAGAATGGAAGATGTAGGCAGATTTGTCGCATAATTATTGAGTAGTATTGTGCTTTTCTATGCAAGTGTTCACTTAGAAATAATCTCCAAAGTTGCTTGTAGGTGTATTGTGTACTGGTTTTACCAGGTTCAGCCGCAATAGTTATATTCTAATTTCTTGAATCGTCTCTTCTTCGTCCATGTATAGCTGTTAGTTAATTCAGCTGTTTCGCAAACATGAATTATCTATATATATGCATTTAAGTGCCGTACTTTTCAACATCACTGAAGTTGCTGGTTTTTACATTGATGTTACCACTCCACTCATGGTTGATAGCGTGGGTGGAACGAGCTCAGACTCTCTATTAAATATTGGACCTTGCCTTAGCTGTTTTGTGTAAATATTTGTTACATCAGAGTAATAAGATTGCTTCCAAGTCACACTCATATGTGTGTGTTTTGTCATTTACAAGAGAATGAGACATTTGCATGTTCAGATTAACGGGTAGAGAAGTTGAAGTTGACAAGAAAATGAACTAAAAGAACTTAAACTAGTATCCAACCATATCAAGCTAAACGTCGAAACCAAGCAAATCAGCGGTGCACCTTCTTCTTCCCAGCAACGGTAACCTTTTTCCCCTTCAACGAACGGCAGTTGTTCCTTGTTCTCTGTCCTCTGCAAGGCAATCCCTTTTTATGCCTATCAGCTCGGTAGCACTTTATCTCCATTAGCCGTCTAATATCAAGGGCTATGGACCTCCTCTAAGGATATTAGAAACCAAGGAAGGAGAAACCGTTACCAGTTGAAAGGAAGGAGAAGTTTGGTTTGAAAAAAAAAAAAAGAGAAGAGCTTAGTTACACCATACACCAGGTTAAAAAGAAGCAAATTACTCACCTGCTAATGTAGAATGAAGTAAACTAGAACTGTAATTCAGCAATTATAAAATCACACATCTCAGTACCTCCACATGTCCCTTTTTCTACATGCAACTTCTCATGGAAGAATGATAACTAATTTTCTTTTTACTTAATTATCCCTTGATAAGTACTAAAGTTACAGAATGCCCAAGAAATAGAAACTTCAGGATAATACCATTCTGGAAGAGAGGCTTCCAACAATTTATATGTTCCTGCATTCAAATATTTCATCCACACATTTACCAGCATTGCCCGGCAAGGTAGCTAATACAGATGAAATGCATGTCAAATCGATCGTGTTTTTTTTTTTTTTTTGAAAAAGAAATCGATTGTTTAGTTAACTTCAAGTCTAACTTTCCAGCTAACATATTTGGTTTTTCTGGATTTGGATACTATCCTTTCACCTCTGTTCTAATCCAAAACAAAAACAAAAAAAAACCAAAAAAAAAAAAAAAAACCGGAACTTTCATGATTAGAAGAACACAGCCAATAGCTAAAGCATAATTCCAATTCACGCCTGCAACTTTTTGAAGTAGAACCAAAATTAAATCCACTTTACTCCAAGAAGCAGCTTCTTGTCCACCATTCTGGCTAAGCTAACCTTATCAATTCTAGCTAAGTGATCCCAAGAGACAATGGCATCGCATTTCCAAAAGAAATGAACAGTAAGCTTTGGCACACTTGTCATCCTAGACAGCCTTAACATGATAGATAATAAGTGTAATAATAAATCCACATCTCCAAACTAACAGATATAACAGACATCAAGTATAAAGCAGACCAAACTGCACCAATAAATCCTCGTGGCAGCCTTTCCAAATATCATGACAACCATAAAGAAAAAAGACCCCAAATGAGCATAATTTATGCAAAAAACATATGAAAAAGATTGAATTCAGTAAAGAACTTACAAGGTCCCCTTCAATCATGTACTTAGAGACTTCTTCACGGAGGTTGGTTAGATCTTCTTCAGACAAATCCTTGGTCAATTTATTCTCCATCCCAAGGTCAATTATTATCTGCCTAGCTGTAGTTCGCCCAATCCCATGTATAGATTGCAAAGAAAACTCGACCCTTTTGCTATTGGGTATCTCCACTCCTCCTACACGAGCATATCTTATACTCAATCGGCCAATCTGAAGAAAAATTCCAATATATTGGAAAAAAAAGACCCTATTTTTATTACACAACGGAGCCCAGAAAACAGCAGCAAAAAAAAGGGGGAGTTTCGAAAAGGAGGAGGAGAAGACGATCACCTTGGGAATGCTTGATGAGCAGGAAACATAGAGGGAATTGAAGGTGGATTTGAAGGGTTGGGTTTGCAGATGAAGGAGAGTGACGGTAGTGCTGGCACTGAAAGTGTTTGCGCCATGGCCTTCTCCTTCCTTTCGGTTGAAACAACTTTTTGGAACGACTTATTAATTTTTTTTTTAAATAAAATTATTCACAAGTTTATTTTATTTATTTCATATTGTACTCCAATTTATAAGTAGTATAGTAAGTAGTACTACCATTTTTTTTTTGAAATGAAAGTAGTACTACTATTATTTTTTTCAATAAATTTTTTGTATTCATCATCTATTCATTTTTCTCTTCCCATTTCTCCTACAAATATATTAATCATCGAAACCTAAGCTACAAAATAATTTTATGTTGTTTGAGGTATAAATTTGATTCTTTTTTCTTTTGAACAATTTACAATTTATACAGTTATAAAACACATAATAGGTTAACATGGGAAAAAAAATACAAACAGACATAAATAAAATCATTTTCATAATTTTCATTTTCTATGACCGTTGGCTATTATTGTGCAGTTTGAATTTTCAATGAATAATAATTAAACAATAATTTTAATTCAATTTATATTAAATGTAAAATTCAAAACTAGAAAATAATTTTGAGGCGAGTGTAATACTCTCTCCGTCTCATAATTATTGTCCAGTTTGAATTTTTATTTCTAGTTCAAATTATACTAAAAGTGAAATCTTAAACTGGACAATAATTTTGGGACAGAATGAGTATTTACTGTCATACTGTGGAATACATGACCTGATTAGTTGTATTACCCCGCGCAAATTGACTCTAGCTATTGCCTAAAACAGAGGATTTTTTTCACCAAAAAAAAAAAAAAAAACTTTGTAATCACGAGACGTCTATTTAATTAGAATTTCAGAGTTCCTAATCTATTAGCTCTCCCGATTAAGTTTACTCCGATCACTATATCGTTATTGTTAATTTCCAAGGCAATTTTTTTTTTTTGTGCCAATTATTATAGGCTAAATTTTTTTGCTAATGAGTTGGCATTATTTATCTAAATTAATGGATATTTCTTCTTTATTATTTATCTAAACTTTTTTTGTGTGTGTGTTTAGTTGATGCTTAATTGGCTTTATTTGATTACATTTGCATCTGTTAACCAAGGAAATGCACCAACAATATATCTGCACATAAAATTGTTTGTTTGTAAGCCTATTGAAACTACGTACTGTGATAGTACCTTGAATCCTAAAGGCCATTTCGGTGTATCAATTAATTTACGCTATAATTAGGTCATACCCTTTATGCAAAAGGTTGCTTAACCCAATGAATTGGAGCCCTAATAAATCCTCTGGGATTGCCACGACTCTAGTCTTCTTAATCATCATATCTACGTTACTTGTGAATTGTAGTATCCAGTTTGTTCGGATGAAGTTTAACATTATTGATTAAAATACTACTCTATATAGACAATGATAATGCAAATTGACAATTTGAGATTTGTGCAACGGTTCTTCAAATTTATTCGTGAGATCTGGGGACATTAGATGCTACACCTTTTTTTTTTTTTTTTAACGAAGGAGAAGACAATTGTCTGAGTGACTAAACTATTACATTATGTTAGTAAGAAACGCTAAGAAAATCATGAGCTAATCATGGCTTTAAAACCACCGGTGGCTCATCTAACCATAATAAACCTTAGCTGTTTTTATTTGTTTCGTTTTCTTTATTTTTTTTTAAAGAAAAAAGACCAAATCTCCTTGAATGGAATCACACAAGAATATCACGATAAAAATTAATCATCTCGTTTTTATTTGTGTGAGATTATTCAGTATACATGGCTTCACTCCACTTCTAAGTGGAAAATTGATGAAACCAAGAATGATAGATCTTGTATTAGTTGAGATATCAGTAACAATATGTTTTCTTGTGGAAGTTCTTTACGCATGCATTTGAATCTCACCGATTAATTACTTTGTTTCTAAGAAATACAATCAGATCTTCCGCTATTAGTAAACATTTTTCTATTACAGTACAAATATCTTGATCAATGGATTACTTATAGTACAAGTAATTAATGAACGTCTCGTTTGAACTACGTGAAATACGACGACTTCCGACAATCTACGGATGCTTGATTCTGTATTTCTGTCTACCAGTCACTACCTACGTGCGTGCCCAGATATCGTATCTATACTTCAAGGGTCAAAGTCGCTTGAGTTAAGCATTTTATTCATTAACGAACAGTCAACACCATTTCCTAATCAATAAGCGTTATACATCATCACAAAAAATTCAACCTCTTCCCATTCATGACAGAAATGCAAAATGGGAATATATGAACTGAAAATATATGCTGAATTAGATTACTCCTCACTTTTTTCACCCAATAATATCTCTTTTTTCTTTTTTTTTTCTTCTTGGGGGCAATCTAGCTACATGTATGATTTTGTTTTTTTTTTTTAATGTCAAAATAATTATAAAATCTTATCAGTTCTTAACTTGAACCAACATTAGTAAAGAAAGAAAAATGTAAAAATTGTGATGGCGAGCTAGAATCCGATGCAACAAGTAAAGTACGCAAATGAAAGTGACCTCAGAGAGAGTAAACATCCAACCCCATAATTCCACCAATAAAAGGACCTCAAATAACAGTGATAATGGATTGTCAGAGTTGGTGCGATCAACCCCTGTAAACGAGTTTATAAACTGCGTTCCCAGTAAAATGTAGTCCATATTTCTCATATTGATTCAGTAAAATGTGTTGATTTAACCTCAATTTTACCCACCACCAAGAAAAAAATTAAAAAAAAAAACATAAAAGGTAATTGCATTAACAAAGGAATATTTAGAGCGGTTTTTTCTTACTTTAATATTATAATTACTGTTGGGAAAAAAAAAGTAGCAAGTTGGAGAGGATCGAAAGGGTCAATAATTGAGTTAAGCTAATTAATCAAGCACATGAAGACAGGTTGACTTGGTCCACATCCAGCTCAGTTTTTTTGCTAATGGCAATATGCAAATCATTTTCAGTTACAAACATTTGGGTCCATGTCATTTAATAACTTTGATTTAAGACCCCCTGCTATTCATCATCTGAAGCACTTGATTTCAAGGACAATTTAAAGGCCTCAACTTTTTTCAAATTTTCATTTGAAGGTCACTAAAATCTTATTATCATTATTTTTTCAAAAAAAAAAGATGAATTGGTTTGCATCATTGTCATAACATTTCTTATTTTCTTTTATTTTTCTTTTTAAAAAAGGAAAACCCATCTATGTGTACCTATACTTTAAAGATGTGCAAAAAAACTCCCTTTCCCATTGCGAGAATGAAATTTGTGCTAATATATTTAATTTGTCTCTAACGTTCTCCTTATTGAGTTGCTTGTGGTTCTCTAATACAAATGCCTATTGCTTCAAAGTTTAACCCGTTAGCAAAAAGCATATGCCGTGATTTAGAAGTATCTTAACCTAAAGAGATGATCGTACGACAATTAGATTTTGGGATTTTTTTTAAAAAATCTAATAAAAATACCTATTTGTATTTAAAAAGTATCTAAAAGTTTCTTATTCTTTTTTAATCTTAATAATTAGTGATGCGATGTAACAAACGGTATAAGAAACTCCCAATAAAATAAAGTTAAATAAATTATTTTTCAAAATCAAGGGCCAAATAGAATTATACCCAAGAATATAGGGCACAGTGGCAAAAAACCAACAATTATTATAAGCTGATGGAAAACTGCTGTTTCTTCTCTGGTGTATAATTGGACAATAGCCCACAACTTTGGTGAAAAAGATTCGAATCAGAGCATCAGAACATTCGGAACCCGAATCCATCCGACGGCCATAAAATTCATGATTAAACACCAATCACAATTTCTCAAAAGCATAATTCCAGTATCTAATTTGCACCCTTCCTTTTCCTGTTTTCCCTTTCTTATTATAACCGAAATAAACCAACCATTTTTGAGCCTTGCCAGCTCTGTTTTTCCCATTCAAACACACAATCTCTCTCTCACCCCATTTTCCACTAAGTTATAAACATTTCTCTTTTAGCTCCGCCTGAAAGGGCTCTCAAAATCCCATTGTCCCATTTCTGGGAGGGTCAACTTCGAAAGGAAATTCAAGAATTCTTTGGGTTTTTGATTTCCTTTCGTGGGTCGCTGGCAATACTCTTTTTTCCTTTTGTGTAAAGACTCTCTCTTTATTGTTCACACTTAACATTTTGGTGTTTGGTTGTGAAACGGTAAAAAAGAGACCGCCTTTTTTCTTCCATTGGCCGGAAAATCCGATTCCGGTAGTTTGATTTTAGGTGTTAAATTCTTGATATTTCTTTGGTGGGTTTTTTGAATTTTTTTTTTTATAAATTTTTTTCAATTTCCCCCCTTCTTGTTGTTGTTGGCGGGAGGGGATCATTTAGTTTGTGATAAAACGGAGATGGTGATGGCAGCATCTCCTCGGAAATCTATAAACACGGTGTTTCAGAGAGTTGGGGTGTATGGATTTGGAGGAAGCAGTCAGAAGAGACAAAAGTATGATGATATTCAAGACGAAGATGACACCTTGGAATTGGAGCAAATTGGTGCTGAGAGGACCAAAACTGTGTTGATTCTGATGAGTGATACTGGTGGTGGTCACAGAGCTTCTGCTGAGGCTATCAGGGATGCATTTCAGCTGGAATATGGAGATGAATACCGGGTAATTAAGTTAAAAACCAAATTCTTTTTTTCTGGGTCCGCCAAATTCCATTATCAGTTATTGTTGCTTCATCATGTTATTGTTTTGGGTGTCTTACGTTGAAGAAATTTGAAATATTTTCCCCAAATTTGACAGCTTGGGATGCCAGTTTGGTAATAAGTTACTGTTGCTGTTCTGTAACTCTTAAAGTTAATATTTTTGATAGTCAAAATCTGTGGGACACCATAATTGTCATCCAGGAGTGTTTATTTATTTATTTTTTTTTTAATTTTGCGCTTTTCTCTCTCTAGTCTCCTTCTTCACTACAAGTCTACAAGGCAGGACGAAATTTCCTTTTAGTTGAGAAATTTAGAACTCTGCTATTTCACCATCTTTAATTTGCTTTGTCCTTTTAAAAAAAAACCCACCTTCATATATGTTTTGGGATGCTTCCATCATGAGGTGACTGTTTTTAACTTCTTATAAGGCTACGTGTGGCTATTTGATTGATTTCTTCTTCGAGTCTTTGTTCCGTATGTTCTGTTTTGGTGCTTAGTGGATAAGTTTTTCATAAATATTCTGCGATGGTTAGTAAGTGATGCATTTTCGTTGCATTTGGTCTTTTTTGCTACAGATTATCGTGAAGGATGTTTGGAAGGAATATACAGGGTGGCCACTAAATGACATGGAAAACCAATACAAGTTCATGGTCAAACATGTGCAGCTTTGGAAGGTTGCATTTCACAGCACATCTCCAAGATGGATACACAGTCTGTACCTTGCTGCGATCGCGGCATTTTACGCCAAGTATGCTACTTTCCCATCTTCTTTCTTCTTTATTTTCTCAATCTGAATACGAACAACGATGCACCGTGTGTATCACGAGGATTTGTTTATGGTTTATTAAAGTCTGTGTGAACTGAAGTGTTTGATATATTTTTTTAATTACAGTCAAATTGTCTAAGCCAACCTCTATTGATATTTTAGCAACTACCAGCGTCTCTTAGATTAGTTGGAATTAAGTATTTGTTAATTGACACTTGGTGCATGGTAGTGTTAATTTAGTTTAGTGTGAATGCTTCAGAGATACTCATATGAATGCTTACATCATTATAGTGATATTTGGGATTATTTGCTGTAAAACATGAGAAACGACTATTCTTTGGTTATTTTGTGTGTGTAGCTGTTTTCCCTAAAAGTTGATTGTTTGTGTTATTTTATTGAAGGGAAGTTGAGGCTGGTCTAATGGAGTACAAGCCAGACATCATCATTAGTGTTCATCCTCTTATGCAGCATATCCCTCTATGGGTTCTTAAATGGCAAGGCCTGGAGAAGAAAGTCATTTTTGTTACAGTCATAACTGACCTAAATACTTGCCACCGCACATGGTAAGATACTAGAGTGCAATTCCTTCCATTTCTTGGCCAAGTGTCTTGATTTTATATCCTAAATCATCTGCACCGTTGTTCGTATTTAGGTTTCATCCAGGAGTAAACAGGTTGTACTGTCCTTCAGAGGAGGTTGCAAAAAGGTCCCTGTTAGACGGCCTTGAAGAATCCCAAATTCGTGTTTTTGGCTTACCTATCAGACCTACTTTTTGTCGTGCTGTACTATCCAAGGTGAATTTCTTAGTGTAAAGCAAAATTTTAATCATTTCAAGGGTTAATATTTCACAACATATGATTTGTGGTTGTTTTTTTTTTTTTTTTTTAAAAAAAAAGATTTGTGGTTGTGACTTGTGTGGTTTATACTCTCATATACAGGATGATTTGAGGGTTGAGCTTGAGATGGATCCAGAATTGCCTGCAGTTTTGCTAATGGGAGGTGGTGAGGGGATGGGCCCTGTGAAGAAAACTGCAAAGGCTCTCGGCGAATCACTCTACAATGCAGAACTCGGGAAACCAATTGGTCAGTTGGTTATCATTTGTGGCAGAAATGAAAGCCTAGCAAGCACATTAAGATCAACTGAATGGAAAATCCCCGTCAAGGTAATTTCAACTGTTAGACTTGGAAATACATAATGAGGCTTTCACACTGTTGTATTGAATCCCTTAACTTATTCTTCTCATTTTATTACATAGGTCAGGGGATTTGAGACGCAGATGGTAAAATGGATGGGTGCTTGTGACTGCATTATTACAAAAGTGAGTTTCCTGAATTTGGAATTGTATACATCTCCATTCCAATTGTGCTTTATGATCTTCGGGACTAATAGTTTTCAACTTTATTCGGATTCGCAGGCTGGACCAGGTACAATTACGGAAGCCTTAATAAGGGGACTTCCCATCATTCTCAATGACTACATTCCAGGCCAAGTAAGGGGATCAAAAGTGATGTCTTGATAATCCTCTTCATGTTGCTCTTTATTGTGAACTAACTTTTTATACTACATTTGGGGTATGAATGCAGGAAAAAGGAAATGTTCCATATGTAGTGGACAACGGTGCAGGCGTATTTACAAGGAGCCCAAAGGAAACAGCAAGAATCGTGGCAGAATGGTTCACTATCAAACAAGATGAGCTGAAGACAATGTCAGAGAATGCTCTTAGACTCGCGAAACCAGACGCTGTGTTTGACATAGTAAAGGACATACATGATCTTGCCTGCCAACGAGGACCCCTAGCGAACATCCCCTACATGTTGACATCGTCGTTTTCCAGCTTAATTTAACCTACATTTACAATAGGGTATATACGTTTTTGCCATTTACTAAGGAAGTTTACCCATTAGGATAAAAAAAATGTACAGGTAGATGGTTTCATTCTTTGGCCTGATATCAAGTAGTAAAGTGATTTTGTTAGTCCAAACAACAGGAGGGGGAGGAGGAGAAAAGGGAAAAAACAAAAGGAAGATTACTTGTAGGAGGAATTAATGATGTAGTGGTGGTGTTATATTAGTTTGTAGTGAATTTATCAGTCAAGTGGAACAGTGATGATGAAGTTGTTGTTTGTTTTGATATTTTGCTGTTTCTGAATAGAAAAAGATGGTTTGATGCCTAGTATTCTTTTCAGTCCTTTTTTTGGCCTATGTGATGAAGTCTACTTGTTTGTTGGAGTAAGAAGGCCATAAGAAATTTGGTGGTTAGAAATGAGTTGCTTTCAAGGTGAGAGACACTGCATTTAGTACACTTCAGCCAAATGGAAGTTTGAGCTTACATTGTCAGCAACATCCATACAAGAAATCACAAAATGACTCTATGCGACTCGAAATAAGAATCATGTTTATTGTATCGGTGTTAATTTTACACATAAGACAAGCCTGTTTTATGCTTGGGTCGGATCAAGTGTAGTTTTGCATATATTTACTCCTACCTTCCAAAGTTTTCTTTTCTAAATTATTTAAGAGACTCTGGTTGGTGGGGAGGAACTGCACTTTGCAGAAAGAAACTGGATCCCTTTCAGGTAGATACAATACTGCCATATGGACAATTAAATTGATCGAAAATAACAACAAAAAATATGGGGTTTTGGGACATTTTTGCCTGCGTTTTGGTTTTCTGAGGGATTAAATATTAAAATTGAGAAACTAATATTACTCTTTACAAAAAAGGAAAAAACAAGAAAAATAAATTAATACTACTTCAACTATCCACAAAGAGTAATCTTTTTTGAGGATTTTCTTCTTTTTTTTTTAATGAAAACAAAGAGTAATCTTTGTTCAACTAAAACAACAGAACAAACAAACCTCTTCTTGTTGGACAGAAGCATATAATTTACGGGGATATTTCCGGAGCTGTCAACCAACATTGTAGGACATAGTTTTTGCGCTTATAATTAGTAGATTCTTTAAAAGGGGAAATTGACTCGTAACTAGATTCTTTAAAAGGGAAATTGAATGCTGATTAAATATGTTTATAATTTTCTTTGTAAATTGAAATGTTAAAATTTTTCATTAATTATAATCTAAATATTATGTGTTTGATTAGGTTGCAATGATCTTAAAATTATACTCTAGTACTCCCTCCATTTATAAATAGATGTCCTTGGAAGGAAAAAAATCAAATATTCCAAAATACATGTCGTTCTCACAAATGCTTTGTCAATTTTTTCTAATACTACCCTTACATTAGTAACTGTAATGATGTTTAATGTTGAATTATATTAGATTTAAATGTTATTAGGACTAGATGTTTATGTTGAATTATATTAGATTTAAATGTTATTAGGACTAGAATTGTATTAAGAGTAAATGAGGATATCATTGTGTTTTGGCTAAATAATAATAATAATTATTTTTTGGTATATTATTGTCTACTTAAACTTTGTGAAACCTCTCCAGCGACATCTATTGGTGAATGGAGTGAGTATATATTTTTGTAGGAAATGCGATATGTTGGGGAAAAAATAAAAATAAAAGACAATTGTAAACAATGAAAAATAATTTAAACCTAAAAACCAAGAATAAAGCTCAGCAAGAGAACAGTGAAAAAATTTATATTTAAAAACGTGCAAAAAGTGAAACTTTTAAAGTAATACTTCATTTATGTTGAATAGCATATGGTAAAAAGATCAATCAAATTGTGAACATCCGTAAACCTAGAATTGATATTCGTATAGTAATTTGATTTGATGTATAATTATTTTTTATAAATTTTACAAGTTTGCCATCATGTATTGGCTACAAATACGGGAGAAATGTTGTAGTGTACTTACATAGTGACACTCAACAAGAATACATATCAATATTCTAAGGTTTTCGTCTTTCTTCGTACTTCCAATTACAATTCACAATTTTCTTCTTTCTAAATCTTATCATAATTTCCTAATATCTAAAATATAATAAAATTATTATATTAAAGTTTCTAGTAAAAATGTAACACTAATTAAATATATCATCTCTCAAATAAATAATTTACTAGAACCTTTACTTAGAATATTTAGACTTTAATAATTTAGAATATTTAAATATATCATCTCTCAAATAAAGTTTCTTATCAATATGTTGTAATAATTTAGAATGTCGGCCAATACGCCTCCTCTTATTGTATCAAAAAAAAAAAAAATACTGTTTTGGACATTGATTGTCAAACAATTAATTATTTTCCATGAAAAAGTACTTTCAATTTTTTTTAATCCAAATACTGTTGCTTTTAGGTTTTTGAAAATTTCTTGTCCAAATATTTTAAAGTTGAAACTAGTACAAGAAGAAAATAAGAATTCTAAAAACATAAATAAAAGAGAGAAAAATATGAAATAATATCTGATCGTTTGATTACAAAATAAAGGGCAGACATCATATTTATATGTATGTCTACACTACTGGATAAAACTAATCTTGATGATAAAAACTATTTTTGATAATTAATAAATTAAGTCTATCACTAAAGTAGATTCCTATCACTAAAATAGATCCTAACTCTACTACTTGATGATTATCTTTAATATTCTCCCTCAAACTGAGTCGGGGTTGTAGACTCAGTTTGCTTTGATTGTGTTGAAGACTTTCTCATCCTTTAGAACAGGAGCAGTGAAAAATTTGTAGACCACCATCGATCCTTTGTCTTGAGTGACTCTTGCCATGTTTTTGGACTGCTTGAAATTTTGTTGCTTGGTTAGGTTGTGATATGACAAGTCAAAACTCTTCTTTTTGAGAGAAGATGACTTTTTCCATATTGGGAATTTTTATAAATGTTAGATTGGTATATGACAAGTCAAAACTCTTTTTTTTTTTTCCTAGAGAGAATCTGACTTTTGTCATAATGGGAATTTTGTAGAGTGACTCAGGGGTGTCTTTCCTCTTCGTCTGAAATTTGTGGATCAACTAAAGTTGATTTGTGAAAAGAAAAATAAAATAAAATAAAATAAAAATTAGTGGTTCAATGGATTGATTTGTGAAAGAGTTGTGAGGATTGTGGACATTCTTGGGAGAATCAAATTGGAGTATAGAATTAGGAGTGGAGAAAGAATACAAAATAGTGATTTAGGATGAATTTGATGTAACATGCCACAACTACTATATTATGAATGAACATGATCAAGAAATCATGAGTTTTTTTTTTTTAAAAAAAAAATAGTGAGTGGAAGCAAAGAAACCATGATTTATTCTATATTATGAATGAACATGATCAAGAAATCATGTGTTTTTTTTTTTTTAAAAAAAATAGTGAGTGGAAGCAAAGAAACCATGATTTATTTTTTTGATGGTAAAAAAAAAACCAGTAAGTAGAAGCAGGAAAGAACCTGCTCTGATACCAAGAAGAAAATAAAAATTCTAAAAACATAAATAAAAGAGAGAAAAATGTGGAATAATATTTGAAGACTATATTGACTCGTTTGATTATAAAATAAAGGGTAGACACTATATTTATAGGTATGTCTACACTATTGGATAAAATTACTCTTGATAATAAAAATTATTTTTGATAATTAATAAATTAAATCTATCATGAAAGTAGATTCCTATCACTAAAATAGATTCTAACTCCACTACTTGATGATTATCTTTAATAGTACATGCACACACAGGTTTTCTGAAGAAAAGAGAGAAACGAATGGGAAGATTAAAATAGAAAATAGATAGAAAAAACATATTCAAAGAGTTCAAGTGATCAGTATATAGAATTTTCATCTTTTATTGGATATTGTTAAGATTATGGGACGATATGGGATGGTTATAACGGGACAATCATCTTTTACTGGAGATTGTTAATATTTGGATAGGCAACTGTAAACCATAATTTTCTTGGTACCAAGATCTTTAGAGGTAAACAGAAAAATTTGATAAGGATATGATTGGGGCTATAGTCGTCCCAAAAACATCTACTAAAAATCTTAACATCTGAGCGTGTTTAGAGAAAAGTACTAAATAAAATAATCATATCACTTAATTTTTGGGGGAGGAGTTGAACGAGACCACTGAATTAAATCAGATTCTAAAATAAAAACAGAAGGTGAAGCAAAGGCCGCCAGATAGAAGAACAACGCAAAATGAAGCAAGCTTGGCTGAAAGAATAATGAAGGTTGCTTTATCCATGTCGTTTTTTTATTTTACTTAATTACTAGTATGTGTCATGCGCTTTGTGCGGGTTTGTTGATGTTGAAAATTATTTTCAAAAGAATTAATTAGATAATATAATTACTAATATTTCTTAAAATCCGTAATATTTTTTTGATTAATTAATTTTAGATCAAAATGAGAAGTGTTGATATTATTTATGAGATGTGTATTTGTAAAATCTGGTAAAAAATATTACAACAAAAATTTTTAAAAATTGTATAATAAAAATTGTCACCACTAACTAATGTTATGTTTGGATTATAAAATATATTTAAAAAATGCGTAAATTATGTCTAGATGCCTATGGTCTATTTATAGGCAATGGAATTTTAGGGATTAGATATAGTTCTAATAAAATATGAGACATAATTAATCTTCCTTGAAAATATAAAATCGATAAACTTGAAGACTAAGTAGCACACAAATGGAATTTTAAGCGCCAAAATGATAATGAGTTGAAAGTTTAAACTCCTAAATGCAAGGACTTCTGAAGTCGGAGGTTTCTCAATAGTTGTCAAAAATATTCATTTTCAAACTCTCAATTGGAAATTTATAATATCTTAAAAATCTTATATAGTAAATAATTGTTATTAAATATTTACATAAAATTTTAAATCAACCAATTAGCAAATGACACGTGTTAATTGAGGCTTGATGGGTTCAATGAAAGTCCTTTGGTTATTATTGATTATTTATGTTTTTCTTGTAAAATATATTTTGTTTATATTACGCATCTAATGTTCGAAGTCGTTGCTCCGACTAATCCGAATTCGAACAAGGTATGTCCCTTATAAAACAATTTATTAACTTGTCAATCATTTACTAAATGTTTCAGTTAATAATTTCTTTTGTTACAGTCCGCTCAATTATTCCTGAGTTTTTCTTTGTGTATGGCTTCCATGTTTAGGGGGTACGAGGGTGTAGATGTACCCATAAATAATAGTCATTGGATTTTCTGCTAATTTGTAACCAATATTATGCGTTTTCTTCTGTTATCTCTTATCTGGAGTCAGTTTGATGTTTTGTCATAATGAAGTTGTTTCATTTGGATTTCACCGAATATGGAGACATTTGTATCGTGACAAATATTCTACCACGAATATATGTCTACATATAGTTAAGAGGGGGAATGTAAGTGTACCGGTGCCTTTCCTACACGCGTCTCATGCTGATTGGGTGATGTGGGTTTTGCTTTTCCTAGAATTCAATATAGCTAGTAACAACCTCTTAGCTAAAATGTTGGAGATGTAACTAAACTGGATTTCATGCTGATCAGGAACATTGGAAGTATGCTGCCTGTACATTATTAGTTAGTGAAGACTGAAGCTTATCTGCAGTGTTGTGAATCACCAATTCTTCCAAAGATGAAGGACATGGCAGTGATAACAAGTTTGGGCAATCTGTAATCATCAGCTTGGTGAGGCATGGAAAGCATTCTGTTTTCTTCATCAGAGATGGCTGAACTTTCTCTTCTGGTTTTGGCCAGTCTCTCAGTAAAGGCAAGTCAAACAGTACAAGTTCTTTCAAGGCTGGATAATATGTTGATGATGAAGAGTTGGAGTTTCGGTAGATGCTAGTCAGCTCATTTAAGGAGAAGAGTTTGAGGACTTTAAGGCCAGGAAGTTCTGCAAATGATGGGAGTTCCTCGCTTCGAAAACACCTCTCAATGGTGATTGTTACAAGATTTGGGAGTAATGAAATATTTTCAGTGTTCATCCAAGTGGAGAATTTGATAGCCCCATATCCTGATATATGCAGCTGTCGCAGATTCATGTGAGGTTGTAGAGATTCTAATATTGCTGCATCTTCTTCACATTCTTGACCATGATCAGCTTCTCTGCACCAACTCAATCTCAAAGAATATAGGTATTCTTTGTCTTTCAGATTTGCATTTTCACTTTCTCTGATATCATTGACATTCTCAAGGTTTATGATACTCAATTCTCCCCTCAGGTTGTTTAGGTACTTCAACTCGCCCAATCCGCCGCATTTGGAGATGGAAGAGCTTTTCCCCAGGACAAATCTTGGTAGTGTCCTGAGAGAAGTCAATTTGCCAAATCCCTGTGGCATGTGATTCAGCTTGTTGCATTTGCTGTTCTCAAGGTATCTCAGAGTAACAATTCTGCTTATCTCAACTGGTAGTTTTTCGAGTTTGTAACATCTCTCAAGTTTCAAAGTCTGTAAATTTTGTAGCTTTCCGATAGACCTGGGAAGAGAGGTCATCACATTCTTTGAAAGATCTAGATACCTCAAATGGATCAGCTCACCTATTGCTCTTGACAACTTTTCAATCCTTTGATTATGTAAATCCAACACGCGCAGTCGCATAAGGGATGCGAAGATCTCCTCATCAGAAATCCTGCATCCCATTTGATACTGAAGTGGGAACATTAATGTCCTTACTTTCTTCACTTTGAGCAATGATGGCGGTAGAGTCCAAGAGAACGGCAAATAAGTCCCAAAGGATACATGCTGAACCCTTCCAGAAATGTCCCTTCCATCGGCTTCTGCGACGCATAATTCAGGTTTTGCAATTGAGCATGCAAGATCATGCATCAGGTCATGCATTTTGCAACTTGTCACATTCTGATTGTCATCTCTTTTAACATCCTCAAAGAAAGACCCCAAGGTCAACTCCTCAACATACTGAATTCCTGTCTCTTCCAGCTGTTTTCCCATTTCAGATTGACTAATGAAACCTTGTGCCATCCACAATTGAATCAGGCCCTGAATTTCAAATTCATAGCCCTTGGGGAACAATGAACAGTAGGTGAAACATTGCTTTAGATCACTTGGCAACTGATCATAGCTTAATTTCAATATCTTCATGATATCATGATGTTCCCAAATTTCATTTTTCTGAACTAACAACCACTCTTTCTCTTCCTTTGTGGATCTCAGCATGCTTCCTAATGTTCTTATAACCAGTGGAACTCCATAGCACTTTTTAACAATACTTTCCCCTATCTTCATAAGGTTAGGATACTTATCCTCATGCCCCTTTCTGAATGCAAGCTGTTTAAACAATGACCAACTTGCATCTTCTGGTAACCGCTGCAACATGAACATACATTCTGCATCCATAGCAAATGCGACCTTTTGGCTACGCGTTGTCGCTACAATTTTACTTCCCTCGGCACCACCAAACAGCAGCTCACTCAGCTGAATCCATATCTCGCGAGTTTCACTCCATACATCATCCATCACCAACAAATACCTCTTCCCATCAAGTTTTCTCCGGACAAGTATCTGAAGCCGTTCAATCTCTATCTCATCCAATAGCCCTTGATGTTCCGCATCCATTTCAAGATCACCCGAAGATGACAATATCTTCTCAAGGATTGATTCTACTTTAAACTCATCAGCAACAGATATCCAAGTCCTCAGCTCAAAAGTTTCAACAATTCTTTCATCATTGTAGACTAATTTTGCCAGTGTAGTCTTGCCAAGACCCCCTATACCAATAATTGCCAGAGCTGAAACACACTCTTCCTCACTCGGGCTAATCAATAACTTCACCAATTCTTCTTTGTCCTCTTCTCTTCCAGCCACATTTGTGGCTAACACAAAAGAATGTGTTTTTTCTCTATCTCTGCTCCTAATTCTAACCTGATCATATCTTTCAGTAAAGCTGAACTTAGCCATATCAGAAGCCATCTCATCTAATCTCTCTGTGACATTTCTAATCCTTTTACCTATCTTGTATCGAAAAACAACTTGATTTGAGGATGAGAACAACTGACTGACCTGAGTTTTCATTCTTGCAGCAAAGTCTGGCTCAGATTTGGAGGCTTTGGTTGAGAATTCGTCCAAGATGTCATCAATATCATACACAACATCTTTAAGATTCTTGATCCAGTTTCTCACCAAAAAGCTCTTTTCTTGCTGCTCATCTGCATCAACAAGCACAGCCCTGATGGTAGTCAACGTGTTGCAAAGCTTCCTCACTTCATCCTTTATGCCACTGATCAAAGCCAGATGTTCAAAAGCCGATGAACCCAACTTCATCAATATCTTTTCTGCAATACCAAATGGGATTGCTTCTGCCATTTTTTGTTGATTAAGAAAAAAGAAGGAAATTTGCTCAGAAATTTTAATCACCAATAAGGAACCTGTTAGTACTGATGGATTGATGGTTGTTACTGCTCCGAGCTAGGCTCCAATTTTGTTTTTACTAGTCCACTACACACTAATTCTCTTCCCCTCATAAGTGGTTATCCATATTTTGTCCTTTTTATGATTATCAACGTACTAGTAGAAACTAATAAGCGGGGTAATTTCTAATTTGTAACACGACATCGACATCGTGGCAACATAACATCTTTTGTTTTGTTTATGCATATATACCATGAATATGTCTTATTAAACCGTAAGCTATAGATATAATCAACACTTAACAGTGCATGGATGGTACCATAACTTGATCTTTATGTATTGTCAAAATTTTTGAAGGACATTGGCGTAGATATGTTATTATTATGTTTTTTTTCTTTTTTTGGATGGTTTTTTCAGATTATTTTAATAATAATTGTCTTATCTCGACATACTTTTTTACATTTTCAATATATTTTTTTACATTTCTAATAAAAAAACACCTAAAATACACATTAAAAAAATAACGAAACAAACATAACCTAAACGGTTTAAGTGCAAAATATGCCGAAGAGGATTGGAGTGAAAATGCTCTATCCACTCTTACACTATTATTATGGTTTGATCAATTCTTGTCTAACAAAGTGGACTTTACATCCACGCCGCCCCGATACGTATAAGCCAAAAGCCCATTAAATTAAGAATTTCCATCCTCTGGGATCCAGTCCAGGACCAAATGAGCCACCAACACTGTATATGTTCCGATGCATTAGATCCACCAGAATGAGAACGACATATCTTCTGAATACCGAAGAAATCGCTGCCTGACGAGGAATCATAGCCATCGAAGCTCTGTGATTCTCAAATATGGTGAGATACTTTATTCTTCTCAAATGGGGTTTTTCTGCTCTATTGGTTCTTGATGAGATTCTATAACAATGGCTGTTCGATTGATTTGGCATGTTCATTTTTGTTTCTGGTTTAGTTTTTGCCTCATTTGGGTTTCTTTTTCAAATTACTTCATCGATGAAAATATCTGCAAATTGTGCCATAAAGTTGTGATCTTGGCAGAACTGGAGTTCTGTTTCCTTCACTGACTTTGAGGCTACCACATCCTTGAATTCAACTTGTGTTTTTATTTTGCTTTACCGATGTTATTTCTTGCTAAGTTATAGATGTAATTACATTAATGTTGACTCAAGTAAGGCTTTGAAGCTAGGATCGACTGGTTTTCTGATATGGTTTTTCCTAATTGTTAAAGTCAATGTTGAACTCGCTCTGAGGAAGTACTTAAATGTTTTAAACGGTGTAAATAGTGCTTTCTGTGCAGTTAATCTGTTGTTTATATCCCCAGCTAATTGATTGATGTCAAGTCGAATTGAGTGTTTCTGTTTTCGGGGTTTGATATCTTTAAGTTCACTGGTGATTTCAACTATTTGTAGACACACGAGTTGCTTAGCTAAATGCTCCTTGATTTGTATCACTTTTCTAATCTTTCCAAGCAATTTTGGTATATTTAACCTTTGGTAGTTTTTATGTGAAAGATGAACTTTTGAGGCCAGGATAAAGGAGGGCATTAACTACCTTTCTGGGATTCCAAACTTTTGAATGGTGTTGAAGGAAGCTAATTGTTCAGAATTGTGTATAGAAATTCATCTACTTGATTGTTTGGACCTTCATTCCTTTTCCACATACAGTGTAATCATTTAAGTTTCAGTTTGGCAGTTCTTGAGGTGTATGTGTGTACTTCCTGTCAGGTTTATCACTCAAGTTTTGTTGACGACGAAGGGATTAGTAAAGCTTGTGGATGCCCTCTTCTTCCTTTAAAAAGCCATATAAAGGGGCCTGCTCCAGTTTCAGATCAAGGTTAGGAGGCTTTTTTTTTTTTTTTGAGTTTCTGCACCTCACTTCTTATTTTGTAACTTATGTTGATGTGGATGCTCTCAACATTTTCATTGTGCATACAGATACAACTGATATTGTTGATGAAGCAATCACATTTTTTAGAGCCAATGTCTTCTTCAAAAACTTTGATATAAAAAGTTCAGCCGATAAGCTTCTGATATATTTGACATTGTACATAAATGTGGCGTTAAAGAGATTAGAGGGGTGCAGAACTTTGGCCGAAGGAACAAAAGCAATTATTAATCTAGGTTTGGAAGACGTTCCTATTCCTGGAGAATCGGGGTTTCCTTTTCCAGGGCTATTTCAACAACCTAATTCTCAAAAAGAAGCAGGTACACTCTTCCCCTTGGTTCATCCTTTCGCCTCTCACGTGCATCAGTTTTGTTCATATAAATACTGCAAAATGAAGCTTTCGGAAAATGCCTTCAAATCTCCCACATTATATGACCGAGTGGAAGTGAACTATTGTTTGATGTGCTCCTAATTCTCCTTCGCAGCTAGATAATTTTTAAACTGTGAAACAGAAATGTCTAAAGAAGGAATTTACGCATGAGCTTCTATTTTGAATGCATGGCCTGGAATTGGTCGAGCATGACTAGTGTAATGTTCTTACTTGATTCTGGTTGTCCAAGTGCAGAACTGTTCAGGAATTATCTAAGGCAAATCCGTGAGGAAACTAGTGGACGGCTCCTGAGTGTTGCTTACAGGCACAATGGAACTCCCAATAAGTGGTGGCTGGCGTTTGCTAAGAGAAAGTTTATGAATATCATTGCTCCATGAAGATTTATGAAAAGGACAACCAATATGAAGCACTCACAAAATACATCATACATGTTTAGTGTACTACTGAAATGAGAGACTGATATGTGTACAACAAAATTGTCTGCTTATTTTCAGGGAAATCAGTAATAACCTACCAAAAGAGTTAAGAAAAAGTACAGAAACTCAAAATAGGCTTCTTGTTTTGTCTTGCCTTATATTTGTAATATTCAGGTTTGCTTATAGATATATGAAAAATTGGTTGCTGCATACATACACTGGATGCTTGAGTTTTGCTCATTGATTGGAAATGTCAAAGCCATTCAAATTTTCAGTCGAGCCTTGAGAGTGGACAGCATTTTTGGGAGAAACGCATAAAAAAATCGGCATTTTATCCAATTCCTTCCTTAGTTTTTACTTTCCAATATGATGGATTCGGACAAACATTGTTTGTGCAATTTTTTGGACAAATAAACACCTTGCAACTTCATTAATGTTTGCCCAAAACAAAAAGGACTTCCAACAATGTGGGATTGGAATTTCGCAAAAATCTCTTCCTCAATCTCTCAAACTCCACTACCAACCTAGGTGAAAAAAAACAAAACAATTAATAACCAAAAATACACACACAACTTGGACATGAAAGATTGGATAAGCCCCCCAAAGAACTTGTAAGCTGAATTTGCCACAGTATAATAGGCGCAAGTGTACGAAGATGGTAATTTTTAGACATCACTACTTTCATTGCCTAGTTTTTTAGTATAATTTAAATTAAAATTGAAAACTTAAATTAGACGATAATTTTGGGACGGGAAAAGTAATTTAGTAATTTAGTCATCTAAAAGAAGAAGATTAAAACAAAAAAAAAGGGAACAAAAGAAAAAGGAAAGGCAATCTCTTCTCAAAATCTCCTTTCATTGTCTCTAACTAACCATCATCTTCTTCTACCCCCTAAAGCCAAACCTAATTGAAAAAAGAACAGTCATTTATTCGGATTCTACCCACCCAAGAAAACCCATATCCAAACCCATATCCAGACCCATACCTACACCATCTTTTTTGCTTAACAACTTCATCCATCTCCTAATACTATAAAAACTCGACTCGATACCCTACTTCGACTCTTTAACTCCTTATACTATTTTCCCTTCAAATGTCATCGTCACCAAAATCCTCCCATAAAAAAAATCGCAACCATTTAGCCCTTCAGAAAACCCTTGTCCAAAATCATCTTCAACCCCAGAAAAACTCTTCCTTTTCCCCCCGTTCGGACCACATTTCTGATTCCCACGAAATTTTTCGTAGTAATTTTGATGATAGTAATGGTTTTGTTGGTTATGTAAGTAGTAATAGTGAATCGAATGGTTCCTGCCCGCATTTATTGGAGCTCCGATCTAAACTTGGTCCCAACCCATTTAGGAACCTACAGGGCTGCCTGAAAGTTCGCCCCCTCGGCCGTGCTTCCGTCCGTCGGGAACCGCCTCACGCGCTTGTTCAATGTAGTGCGTGTAACGACAATCCTCGGAGATTGTTGGCATGTATCGCTTGCGCTGCTATCTCCTGCCACCTTCACGCCCCGTCGCACGCGGCGGATTTCGCGGATGACGTCGGCGGCGGCGGCGAGGGCCCTTCTTCTCCGTCATCCTCTCACGCCATCGCGGTTGACGTTGACCGGGTGGAGCTGTTCTGTTGCATCTGCAATGACCAGGTTTACGACATCGACTTCGATGCCGCAGTCGTACTCGCCCATTCCGTCGCCGCCTCGGCGGGCCCGATCCAGGGCCCGGTTCCGATTCCGCCCGCTCCGGCGGAGAATCTCCGGAAACGGCGACGCGTGGAATACAAACCGTGGAGTCCTGATCCAAATGAGCGAGCCCTGATCGTGGAGAAGTCAAGCCCCTTACCGAGTCAGCCAAGCCGACACGGCAAGCCGGACGCAGAGCCTCCGTGGGGGCTCAGGGGCCTTAACAATTTGGGGAACACTTGCTTTATGAACTCGGTTTTGCAAGCATTGCTTCACACCCCGCCATTGAGGAATTATTTTTTGAGTGATAAGCATAATCGCTATTTTTGTCAGCAAAGAAACAATTCAGTTGTTACTAGGAGTAAAGATCATAGTAGTAAAGAGAATATGGAAGCAGCAAGGTTGTGTTTGGCTTGTGATTTGGATGCTCTGTTTTCTGCTGTATTTTCCGGAGATCGGACTCCATATAGCCCTGCAAAGTTGCTACACAGGTCTGACTTGTGTCTATGTTGTATTAATGTAATCAGTGTATAGTTTTTGATGTACAAACATTTTCAGGATTTAAGATTTTGTGAAATTTGTAGTTGGATAGTCATTGGAGATTTGATCTTTGCGGTGAATAGTGCATATTTGGCAAGTTTTTTTTTTTTTCTGTAATTAATGTGCTATTTTGGATTTTGTACATTATTTATTAGGTCATTAAGTCAATGTTAGCTTTGGTTACTTTAAATGGTTACCATGCAATTTGCTTGTTTTTGAAGTCTCACAAGTAGAGCATGTACTGTCTGGCAATGCATTCATTGGAGATACTTCTCTTGCAATATGTGTTCTCAAGGTTTTGCTTTGTCTGTTTCAGTTGGTGGAAGCATGCATCAAATCTTGCAAGTTATGAGCAGCAAGATGCACATGAGTTTTTCATCTCCATGCTTGATGGGATTCATGAGAAGTTACAAAAGGACAAGCGGAAGCTCCAGAGTCAAGGTAAATGATACTGTCCACATTGTCATTTTTTCCATTCTCTTTTTTGTTTTTAGCTGTGTTGGTTGATCTCATAATCCTAATTCCCATGAAAGGTACAATACCCATGTTCTTCACTTTATGAAATTGGTGTGTTGTTGCTTGGGTAAGGTGTGCACTCTATGACATTTATACAATCATGAGGAAAGCTTATTACTATGGATAACATGGGATTGAGAATTCTTTGATTTATTGAATAAAAATTTTCAATTTAGATGCTTGGAGGCTGTACTACTTAAAACTATTCAAACTTGACACCTCTGTACCTGGGATTGACAATGGATTTTTCTGATTTATTGAATATACATTTTCAACTTATATGCTTGGAGGCATTACTTAAACTTGACACCTCTGCTTCTCTCTATTAGTGGATGGCTTGGTACTTGTTTATTGTTTCTAGAGATATCACTTAATTTGTTCTTTACCTTCCCAAAATCACATACCTAGTAGCAGATCTCTGCCTTTTTCTTTAATATTTGAGAATCTAAATAGATCCTGCTTATTGACTACTACTGTAAACCAAGGAGTGACGGCAAGTATTAATTGCAGGCTTTTGGTTAGGTTTCTCCCTCACTCTAGGCAATGATTAATGCTATCAGATTTAGTGCCCTACTGAAACCAGCAAGCTTGCATCCTGCTTACCTCCTGTAAGTCACAATCTTCTTAGCCTTAAAGTGTTTCAAATCTAGGATTTTCCATTGCACATGAGCGTTCGTGTGAGCTCCTCCACAGCCATTGTTAGGTCAAGATAATTGATTTGGGGCTCGAAAGAATTGTCTGCAGGGTCGAGATTGCTGCTATGTTGTTAGACCTATTTAAGTCTAGGATCATGATCTTGGAAATTTTAGTTGCGTCTTCTTTTTGGGTGGAGAATTGAACATATTCTAGGTGTACCTCAAAGGCACTTCCAATCTGCATGTCACAATTTCCTCTTTCATGATTTTCCCGTACTATTCTGATGTTTTTTCCAAATACTTATAGGAAATCTCATCATTCAATCTGGTCGTCTGAGTGATACCATGTACAGGCAAATGGCCCAGACATGTATTTGCTACATTTTTAATTTACCGGCGGGTTTTTGTTGTATAATTGATGCTTGTTGGTGTGAATGCTCTACTGAATTTTTGTCATCTTTGTTGAATATTGAACTAAATCTTGATTAGACTGGAACCCCCATTTATTTTTCAGTGCTGATACCACATTTATTGTACCTAACTTAAATCCTTTTCACAGGCAGTGGAGATTGCTGTATTGCTCATAAGGTGTTTTCAGGCATCTTGAGGTCTGATGTTATGTGTACAGCTTGTGGGTTCACATCCACAACGTATGATCCATTCATTGACATCTCACTGGACTTGGAACAAAACAGTGAGGGCTCTGCAAAATTGGCATCTGGAAAATCTAATCATGCCAGCAATGGTGAGGCGGGCTCCAAGAATAGTAGCCAGAGCTCTGGAGTTTCTACCTTGATGGGTTGCTTAGATCGATTTACAAGACCTGAAAGATTAGGATCGGACCAAAAATTTTTCTGCCAGAAGTGTCAAGTCAGACAGGAATCTCTGAAGCAGATGTCCATTCGAAAACTTCCTTTGGTCTCTTGCTTCCACATTAAAAGATTCGAGCATTCTCATGTTAAAAAGATGTCGAAAAAGGTTGACCGCTATCTTCAGTTTCCCTTTTCCTTGGACATGTCAACTTACCTCTCTTCATCAATCTTGAGAAGTCGGTTTGGAGAGAGGATGTTCAGTTTTGATGGTGAAGATGCGGCTGCTTCATGTGAATTGTCCTCGGAGTTTGAGTTGTTTGCTGTCATCACTCACTCTGGTAAACTTGATGCTGGTCACTATGTAACATATTTGAGATTGAGTAACCAGTGGTACAAGTGTGATGATGCATGGATAACTCGGGTTAATGACGACATTGTCAGAGCTGCACAAGGTTATATGATATTTTACGTGCAGAAAATGTTGTACTACAAGGCAAGTGAAAGGCAAGGTGCGTCATGAGAAGTTGATCAATGGAGGAAGTTTGCGGTGTTTTGGTACCCAATTAAGAATGGGTCGGCACCAGGCAGGTGACATTGATCACATACACAAACTGCCCCCGAGTCATCGGAAGCTGATTTCCTGCGGCCCTGCCACTTGTGGCTTTGAGAGCTTGTTCTAAGGCAGATTTTCAGTGACTTGCCATCGTGTAAAAGGCAAAACACCTGCATTTTGGTGGTATGATTTTGACAAGAGAGTGCAAAACTAAACTCTATAGGAGTGAAACAGATGGCAGATTAGCCTCAACCATCCACTTCTTTTCTTTCAAAATTGTTGATCTTTTTGGCCTATTAATTATTTAATATTACCCCAAGGTTATAGAAGGATGTTCTTTTTTCCCCAGTGTTTGGTGGGTTCTATAATTGATTCTAACACTTTATTTATCAATGCCTATGAGATCATTCAATCTCTCCAGCAAAATTTATGGACTTCATTTTTTGGTATTAATTCAACAATATTTGGATTATGATGTGTAAACTGTAAAAGCACGCTTTTGAAGCCAAAAGCAATATATGACACGTAGTGACAAAAAGGCCGGGTTTTGGAGTTTGGACCTTTTTGGTTGGATCCTATGTTTTGGGCTTTAGAGAGAGAAAATGGTCAAATCTTATGTTTAACCCGCCCACCTTCACCACCAACCACCCAGATACAGACAGAATCCAAATTTTGCAGCAATCACTATGTTGATGCAGAAAATATGCAAAGCAATACCGTCAAATTTGAATCTTGTATAATTTGACCCTTAAAGTTACCCTGCCATTTTTTTGGAGTTAAATATTATGCCATTTTTCTGATGAAATATAAACCTTAAGACTTAACTATCTTTTTCGTCTCGAAATAATTACTTTGTTGGGTGTATCAAAATAGTATGACGAATAAGATAATCATTTTTAGATAAAAAAAGTAAAAAAAAATAAAATTAATGTTTAATTTTTTGGTCCAAAATTCAAGCTTAGATTGTTTTTCTACAAATGATTGTTCCACGTAACTCTCACGAAGATGATGTAGTCAAATCTTTTGCAAAAAAAAAAAAAAAGAAAAGAAAAAAAAGTTATTTATTTGCAGGGAATGTTATGTTTAATTCTTTCTTGACCACTAGCAGAAGATAAATAAAATGTGCTACTTTTTTTTTTTTTTTCTAAGTCCTATTTTAAAGAAGATTTAACTAATGTAAATGGTGAATTCATTCAAATGACTCGAATTTCATCACGACCAATGAAAGTGTAATTCATGTTAAATTATTATAATTGTTTCCTAGCTTTACCAAATCAAATATTTTCATACATGTTTTTCATTGGGTAGATCTCAACTGTATCCTGAAGTGTTTGTCATTCCACATTATTAAAGGGGAAGGAATTATAATTGACCCAATCTATTATTTACTCAAATACCTGAGGCTCATTCATAATTTCTTGAAATCCCTGGTAGACTTTATAAAACAATTTTTTTAAAAAAAAATTAAAGAAAAAAGAAGAAAAGAAAAAACTAACAGAACGAGTGATGATTATAATTTCTCGGGTCTTTATCTTCTTCATATAAAAACCTCAAATTCCTCCATTTTATCTCTCTCTCCTTATCTCTGTCTCTTTTTGGAATCTACTAATTGCGTGTTGGGTTCATCAATACTCGGTGTCCTTTGCCACTGACCAATTCTACGAGGATTTTGATTTCGGGTTTTAAGGTTGTAGGTCTTTGTTTCACCCATAGTTGGAGATTTTAATTGCTCGATTTTTTTTTTTTTTTTCGGTTGAAGTTCCATCTGAACGGATTTGAAGAACTAGAATGGAGCCTTAAGCTCTCATCAATGCAACGCTGATGGCATCTGGGCATTCGGGTTTTTCTTGCTTGGTGTTCTAGGTGAATTCGAAGAAACGGTAAAAATCTGGACGATTGCTGCTGACACCTTGAGTTCCCCATCAGGTAAAGCAGTTAAAAAATCTTCTCTCACGACTTGTCTTCGTTGTTTTCAATTCCATTTGTCGCTTCGGTAAATTTTCAAAAGTCGATGTCTTTCTGGATTGGTTGGTGTTGATTAATGCTCAACTTTAGTTTTAGCAGAATCAAGAAACTGAGAATTTGTGTAATTTCTTTTGGTTGGTAATTTCCCATATCCATTTGATTGACTTGGTCTTTTAGTTGTCAAATTTTACTGCTAGTAAACGGTCGACAAAAGATTCTTTGGTAAAGAAGTAAAATTTGTTTGTTAATGTTGCCTTGTGATAGTTGAATCACTTGCGTGGTTAATAAACGATGCTATTTAACAATGCTTGGAGTGCTTCAATGATTGTCTCTTGGAGAGTTAACATGATCATATGTTTTTTGTGGAGTTGCTGAGCATGTTTGTTTGTCCTCTTTTTGGATATGAACTGAAGTTGTCTTCAGCTAGTTCCAGACTTCCAGCATAGTATTATAATGCTTTACCAACACTCACTAGAAATATCTAATTTATGCGACTATCTAAATGAAGGAAACATGATGAGCCTCAAGGATTGGGTTTCATCTCAGCTTCTATCCAGGTCATTAGCCACATCTAGGCCATTGTCAGCGGCTGACAGCTTCTTATCAGAGGGGTCTCCTGACGAAGATTTTCACAATGAAGGTATACTAATACAATCCAGACTCTCTGTCATTGCACCATATCTGGTTGTCAAATGTTATCCTTTATCTGATCATTTGGTTTGTCTAGTTTGGATTTTTTTTTTTTTTTTCCTGTCTTCCCCAATGGTAAGGATTTCCATCTACACTTGACTGAGCTATTTTTTTGAGGTATTGTCTTTAACTTTCTTTTTTTACCTTTGCTGATATAGCACATCATAAGTACCTTGAAGTTTTGCTTTTACCAAAATTTGAATGTCAAGAAGACAAATGTCTAATTGTAAAAAGGTATTCTTGCTTCTCTGATACCTGGCTGGGTACTCTTTCCCTGTTATCGAATCAAAAGTAGCTATCACCAAAACACAGCTACAGAAATGTATAGTTTGTTTTATACACAATTTATTTGAACTTTTTCCATTTCCTGTTACAAATGCTGCTATTTGATCTATACCCCGATTATGACACAATTTCAACATGGCTAGGTCTTTTTCTATGCTCTCTTCTGGACTGATTTTAGGAGTTTCTTTTTTTCTGAACCTGAAGAGATAAGATATACTTTTAAAGATAATATATGGCATATATTTCAGGATGCTCTTGCTGTCTTCTCTTAGTTCTCACTTGCACTCCACATTTAAATTTAGGGCGACCTTTTTCTTTTGTTTGCTTTCCTGTCTGTTTTTATGGTGGTCAATGCTTCTTCGTCCTTATCTATTATTGCTGAAGTTTTATTCATTTATGCAGTTCACACTTCCGATCCAAGAGCAGTGCTTGTTACTCCTGATTCATGTCGCCATTCCAGTACCCGAAACAATCAGGAAAATCTGAATCACGTCTCTTATACAACTGGTTATGGTCCTGAAGATCGAGAACAGTTCAATACACAGGAAGTCAATGGTGAGAATCCTTCACGGAGTGATTATGAAGATGAGAAAACCTTGGATCCTTTGGGAAAGATTGAATGTCTTCAGATTAAATTCTTGCGTCTTCTTAAAAGATTTGGCTTATCACAGGATAACCTACTAGTATCCAAGGTATTATACCGAATTCAACTGGCAACTTTGATACGAGCTGGTGACTCTGATCTTAAAAGGGCTAATCTAAGAAGTGATAAGGCTCAGCAAATTGCTGAAGAAAGAGAAGTATCTGGTTTTCCTGAGCTTGATTTTTCTGTTAGAATTCTTCTACTGGGCAGAAGTGGTGTTGGGAAGAGTTCTACCATAAATTCCATATTCAATCAAATGAAGGCTGCGACAGATGCTTTTCAACCTTCTACTGATCACATTCAGGAGGTTGTGGGAACTGTGAATGGTATTCAAATATCCTTCATCGACACTCCTGGTCTGCTGCCTTTCTCGCCAAGTTCTGTCAGGAAAAATCGGAAAATACTGCATTCTGTGAAGAGATTTATAAGAAAATCTCCTCCAGACATCATATTGTATTTTGAACGTTTGGACTTGATCAATACGGGTTATAGTGATTTCCCATTGCTAAAGCTTGTGAGCGAGGTCTTTGGTCCGGCAATCTGGTTCAACACAATGATTGCCATGACTCATGCGTCTTCATCGCTTCCTGAAGGTCCTGATGGGTATCCTGTCATCTATGATTCTTTCATTGCTCGATGTACAGATTTGTTGCAACACTACATTCACCAATCAGTGTCAGATGCTAAACTTGAGAATCCTGTAGTCTTGGTAGAGAACCATACGCATTGCCGGACAAATATCAGGGGAGAGAAAGTTCTTCCGAATGGACAGGTTTGGAAGGACCAGTTCTTTTTATTATGCTTATGCACCAAAGTTTTGGGTGAGGTTAACAGTCTCCTGGAATTTGAAGACGGGATGCAGTTGGGACCCTTGAATCGTAATAGAGTGGCTTCACTTCCTCATCTTCTCACTGCTTTCCTTAAGCACCACACTCGATTGAATCTACATGAAGCTGATGACACAGTCGAAGACTTTCTTCTCTTAGACTCAGAGGAAGAAGATGAGTATGATCAACTGCCTCCAATCCGTATTTTAAAAAAAGCTCAATTCCATAAATTGAATGACTCGCAAAAGAAGCAATATCTAGATGAGTTAGATTACAGGGAAACTCTCTATTTAAAAAAGCAGATGCGAGACGAAATCCGCAGAAAAAAAGAAAGACTTTTTGATGATGAGAATTTGGCCTCTGACATTCACCCCAGTGATCAAGAGGTGGCACCAGAACCTGTTCTCTTGCCCGATATGGCTGTTCCTCCTAGTTTTGACTCTGATAATCCGGTCCATCGATATCGCTGCCTAGTTACAGATGATCAGTGGCTTGCAAGACCAGTTCTGGATCCTAATGGATGGGATCATGATGTGGGCTTTGACGGAATCAACCTGGAGACAGCTGTAGAAATAAGGAAAAATGTTTTCACTTGTGTTACTGGCCAAATGAGCAAAGATAAGCAAGATTTCAGTGTTCAATCAGAATGTGCTGCAGCTTTTATGGATCCCAAGGGACCCACATACAGTGTAGCTATTGATGCTCAATCTGGTGGAAAAGAATTAATGTGTACTGTACACAGCAACATAAAGCTAAGGAACCTAAAGTACAACCTTACTGATTGTGGAGTTTGTGTCACATCGTTTGGGAACCAGAAATTTTTCGGTGCTAAGATCGAAGACAGCATCTTAATAGGGAAGAGGATGAAGTTATCTGTTAATGCTGGTCAGATGCGTGGTGGTGGGCAAGTGGCTTATGGTGGTAGTCTTGAAGCGACTTTGAGAGGCAGAGACTATCCTGTGAGAAATGAGAAGGTTAGTTTCACAATGACATTTCTTTCTTTGGACAAAGATACAGTGTTCGGTGCAAATTTGCAATCAGACTTCAGATTGAGGCGTGATACAAAAATGTCTGTGAATGCTAATATCAATACACGGAGAATGGGTCAAGTCAGTATAAAGACTGCTAGCTCGGAGTGCATGGAAATAGCTATAATTGCAGCAGTCTCAGTTATTGGAACTCTGCTGCGGAGAAAGCCCAATGCTACGACCTAGCTGATTGAGAATTAGCATTTCGTTTGTTCGTATGTGTCTCAGTCCGGGTATTCTCTTAGGGAGGGCTGAGTCTGATGGAGTAGAACAGAAAAACTCATACGCTATTGATGAATGTACTCCTACAACCCCGTGATAACATTTCTGACCTTCTTTCATGTTGTCAGATGTTGTGCTGTATACGACATGATACTGTAGAACAGGGCTTTAGTGTCTGCTAAATGCACAGATGTACGTGAAAGTATGACTAGTAGATAGAGAATCACAAGCTTTGCTGCTTGAACAATTTTGTCAGTTAGAAAGGATACTTAACCTACAGTTCTTTGATTGAGTTTAAAGCTGAGGTTTGTTTGCCTCACCTCGCAGAATATGCTGCACTGCTTTTGGTTTTGTTGTGTGTTTTGCTGAAGCAAGTTTTTAGCAATTCACAGTTGAATGGCACAAAGGCTGAAACAGAAGATAACACTGAGTTTTAATGTGTTTTTATTTCCTGTTATGCCATATACATTGTAGTCCCTGAGTAAGGTGGCTGAAGAAGGGATGAATTGTTAATATACTGTGTTTTAAACATAGGTAGCCTATAATTTTTTTAATATAAAAAAACTGACTAGGCAAATCATCAATTCGATTCAACTTACATTCAAAACATGAATAATTTAGATCGAGTTTATTTCATCCAACATCTTGTGATGCATTTTTTCAAGAAACACATATAATGTCATCTTTTTCCCTTTTAAGTTATGACATATTTTATTTATCAGTATTATAAATTAGAGTCTAGTAAATATGATTTGTCTATTAAAAATTGGGATTAATAGTAACCAAAAAAATATTTTTTTAAAAAAAGATGTTACTGTACAATATTCGAAAGGATAAAAGTGTCATTTAATATGTTTGCCGCCTCTCAGTTGGGAAATTCTTCAAATGACCTGAAAAAATGTTAATTAGGTTTGTTTTGTTACCGGACGCCGAAGCCTTCTGAAGTCCGTCTCCAAATCCGAGTGGGTATGGTTCCGTTTCAATGTCGCCGGAGCCACGAAAAGGCAATGTTTTTGGGGTTTTCTTTTCAACCAAAAGCGCAAGTGTTTCTGTTGGAGCAGTGAGTGATGCTATGGATTGGCATTTTTGGTCAGGCAGCAGGCTTGGAAGCATTGGAATTAGTTTGGGTTTGATTCTGCACCTGATACATAGAGTTCTTGAAGTTTCATGGGTATGTGCTTATTTACAAGAAAGTTTTCACTTGACTTGATTTCCTCAGGTTTATTCAAATTGGGCTATTTTAAGAGAAATATGATTGCCAAAGATAGCAGCTTTCGTAAATTGTATAGATGTGCTTCTTCAGCTTTGGATTTAGTTGACTCTGATTCTGGCTCAAGCAGTGATTTTTATTCAGCTGATGAGTTAGTTGGGTTTGAAAATATTAAGTTTCATGGTTTTGAGAGGCTCCCTCTGTTTTCCATTGTTGTAATAGTAGTCAAGTCCTTAAATTGGAGAGTTGCAAACACCATAAGGTTTGAAGATGCGGTGGATAAGTATGGTTTTCCTGGGTGTATTTATGCCTTCAGGATGATTGTTCATTTATTTGCTTTTGCTGGAATGCGATTGGAAGTGCATGCTTTACTTCGAGATATCTTGTGTTATTATCAAAAGGTTGATTTGGATTTGTCGGAATTGCTTCCAACCATCGTGGAGTCGTGTAACCATGAGGCAACTTTAGTTTTCGTGGTTGATGCCCTAATAATGGTTTTCGCTTCCAACTTACTGCTTGAAAATGCAGTTAATGTGTTCTTCCAGGCTAAGGGGATTGGAATTCAACCTGGAATCCGAGCATGCAATTTCTTGCTTAAGTGCTTGTCAGAAAGGAATAAAAGCAATCATCTTTTGACTTTATTTCAAGAGATGGAGGTCTCTGGACCACCTCCTTGTGTCTATACATACACAATTCTTATTAACTACTGGTGTAATGAGGGATATGCAGAAGGGAAGGAGGGTATAGAAAAGGCTTCTTCAAGTCCTGGTATCAAGAAGTCTGCTTCGCTTTTTGAAAAAATGACAAGAGTAGGAATTAGTCCTTCTGTTGTAACGTACAGTGTTTACATCCGTGGACTCTGTAGAGCTGGGCGCACTACGCTAGCCTTGAATGTTATTAAGGACTTAAGGCACAATAAGCCTCTCAATGCGTATTGCTACAATGCTGTCATGCATTCATTCTGTAAGAACGGTGAACCTGAGGAAGCAATGGAAGTGTTTGCAGAAATGAAAAGATGTGGAATTTTACCTGATGTTCATAGCTATACTATCTTAATTCACGGTTATTGTAAATTTGGAAATGTTGAGAAGGGTCTTACTCTGTTTGAGGAGATGGATAGAGATACAAATATAAAACCATCACTTATTACTTATAGTTCACTTCTAGATGGTCTTTGTAAGAGCGGATTGATGGAAGCCTCAGTGGACATGTTCCGTGAACTTAGGAATTGTGGTTACAAATATGACCAGCATGCTTACAATATCCTAATAAGTAGCTTTCTTAGGCAGGGTAATACTGATTGTGTTCATGAACCAGAGGAGATGATAAGAAATAATTTGGATGATTCTCTTACTGGTGATGTTGCTAGTGTGTGCTACATTGAAGGACATGTCAGGAAAGCATTGGAGTTTCTTGAAGAAATGCACAACCAAGGCATTAACCCCAATAGTTTTAGTTATGGTATAATCATAGATAAGCTGTGCAAGGAGGGAAAACCAGAAAAAGCATTGGAGCTTATACCTTATATGCTTAGAAGGAAAGTACTTCCCAATGTTGTAGTGTATAGCACTCTCATACATGGTTTCTCTAGGCAGGGACAAGTGAAGAAGGCCCTACTAGTTTATAGCAGTATGATAAAGTTTGGGGTTACCCCTAACAAAGTCACCTATACTATCCTCATAAACCTATTGTTCACTATGGGCAAAGATAAAGAGGCATACTATTTGTTTGGGCAGATGATTTTGAATCGTCTGAATCCTGATAAAGTCTCTTATACGTCGATTATAGCTGGGTTGTGTAAGACTGGACATCTAAATATAGCTCTTCAAGTTTACAGAGAAATGCAGCATCAGGGACATTTGCCTTCAGTAGTCACTTATACCTGTTTGATTGATGCATATTGCAAACAGGGTCGCATGGATATAGCAACCATGCTGGTAGATGAAATGAGAAGAAAAAATCTTTCTCCTGATGTGGTGACATACACGGTTTTGGTTCGTGCATACCTGAGACAAGGTCAAGTGGAGACTGTTCATTATTTATTTAAGGAAATGAGAAAGGAAGGCCTTGTTCCAGATGATATTATGTGCAATTTACTAGGGTTGAGCAAAGAACATTAGGTCGAGAGCATGCTTTTACCAAGGGATGTCTGGTTATAAACATGTGGCAGTTTTTCTGTGCAATAATGCCAGGATTGCGGGAGCGAAGAGTGAGCATACATCTAGTCCCTCCGCAGCGCCAAAGTAGGTGGTAATCCATTGTTTGAATCTGTTGTTTGTTTATCTTGATCTTTGCATCCCTGCATTAGATCTTTTTTCTTCTTTTTAACTAACTTCCTTGGGGTATTAACTTTGTGAAAGTACTTTCTGAAACATTTTAGTGTATGTGAAATTGATGTATTGGATACCAAACCAAACGAAGCATGAACTAATTCTGGTAACTTTTCCTTGGAGCAAGCTAATTGATCTATTACCATCTGAAGATATATTGCAACATGTCAGTTTAGTAATTCAAAATTGACGTGTTGCAATATGGCATGAAGACATGAGATACTATTTCGTAACATCACACTCCACTGCCCTATGTATCTGTCCCCATTTTGTTTTCTGAAAATCATTTATTTGATAGTTTCTACAGTTATCAGTTATTTCGTTGAATGTGTAATCTCGAATGACATTCCCTTCATGTATCAGTTTCTGCTTCTTCTAGCCAGTACTTTTACTACATCCAGTCACACTCCAACATACTTCCGCTCATGTCTCTATTTACCTGCGTATTTGTATTGACTGGAATGTTATAGTTGTAGAATAGTTTGTGAGATGTACTGTTTCAGACATTCCGTGTTCTCCTATGTAGATGTCATTTTGAATGGACTTTGATATATCTGGCAATTTTCTTGTCATTTATCCAAGGGAAAATGAACTGTGTCAGGTGGCGCTACAAGCTTTGCCCTTCAATCATTGAGGATTTAACTCGAGTTATTCAGAATTTCTTCCAGTCATGTTAAAGCAGTGGAATGATGCCATGCATTACATGCTGTGAGAGGTTTAATTATCTAGCTACATGGGTAGCCAACTTTGGTAAGGAATTATATTGTCCATCCTTTTTCTGTCTTACCTTTTCATCTTTTCCTGATTGTTGAGGTTGATTGCTGAAAACTTATCACAGAACTTGATTCCATACCTCAAGAAGAGTTTATAAACCTTCTTTGTGGTAATAGGATCAGTCCACCTCTTCATCATTCTTTAGTACAAATCCATTGGAGAAGCAGTATGAATGTTTTTTGTGGATTTTCAGGAAATGGAATCCAAAATCATTCTAACTTGTGTTGTTCTTCATAGGATCTCAAGCGTATGCAAAAATTGATTTCTGGTGCTAGGAAAGAATCTTCAACATATTTTATTTGTTCAGCTGAAATTTTGCATTATAATCTACCGAGTAAAGATATGTCAAGTACTTCTGGCAACACCAACTATCCTATTCTACTCTGGTCTCTGTCGGCTTCCAGTCTTATTGGTTAAGGCAAGTTCTCTTACACTTGCCAAGTAGCAGTAGCACTCAAAATGTTCTTTGTCTGCATGACTTTTTGGTGGGAAAAAGAGACACGAAAAAGAAGTGATTCGGGGAGACGACGACTTTTGCTATGCAGGAAATGGCCTTAGAAGCAATTTTCTTGTGTGATAACTGGGCAACTTGGAGTGAAGGACAGAAACTCAGTCCTCATTAGTGGGACTTGTGGGAGTTAGATGGCGCTTCAAGTTTGGTTTTCTTAAAAAATGTGCTCGAGAGTTCAGATATTTATTCGTCTCACATGGTGATAACATGATTGTGCAAAATATGAGATACCCGATATTCTTGGCGCAGCAAACTTGTGTTCTTGAAGTTCTGTACCTAACCATGATGATGGGCAGCTGGTCAACTCCCTCAGTTACACGTATTGATTTGTGACTGGAAACAACCTCAGTTACCAGCAACAGACTGGAAACTGTACCTTAAAACAGGATCAGCTGCCGCTAAACTCACTCAGCTACATGTAATGATATTTGACCGTTGTTGTCTGGGGGAGACTGCTCCAAAGTTCCTTGGTCGTGCCTGTTTTTCTCCCAAGAGACATCTATCATTGACGATCACCCCCGAGTGATGACCTTAAGGGAAAGAAGGTTTTGAACAATCTCCTCCCTGTGAAGTCGAATTGGTAAGTCGCGTTGGAATCTTATGAAATCTGCCGAGTCAGATTGCTTTGTTGGATTCACCATGATGTTGAAACTTGAAAAGGGTTGTTTGTCCCCGTCATAAAAAAAAAAATGTAGTTTACATTTGACATTTTGCCAATGGGCGGCGGTACAACCCTGCCTTTTTCTTCTCTTTTCTTTCGAAAAGATCCTTTTGTTTGTACTAACCAATTAGGATCCATTATCTTCCTCAGGTTTTGATTTTTCTAAATTGTTGGCAGCGAATACTTTCAGTCACTATCCGTTAACGTGAAATCTCACTAGAGGTGTTGAATTATCTCGAATTTGGGTCCAAACAGTAGTTTTAAGTCAGAGATAAGTTACTGGAGATGGAAAATGCAAACACGAACTGTAGAGTAAGAACAAAACGTCTTGAACAAAAAAAAAAAAAAAAACCAGGAAAATCTGATCACCTTCTTTTATTTAGATGATGGACTGGTCATCAGGATGCGGTGATGACGAATGGAAGCCTCCGAGTTCAATCGATGGCGATTATTTAGATGCTCTGGAAGCTGAGATTAATGGTAGTCCGATGCGTTTTGCGAGCGGAAAAGACACACCTGATGAATACGGGGGGGTTGGTGGACTGGGATTATTATATCCACGTGAATGGAGGAAATGGGATAGTGTTGAATCCTGAATCCCTGAACCCACTTCCTGGTCCTCCTCCTGATGATGTTGATATCAGGTGGTATTACGACAACAATGGACTCAGCGCTTTAGCGATTCGTGTCCGAGATGGGGGTGTTGTTTGGTGTTAACCACCACCATATCCAAGAGAACTCCTACTTTCTTGCTGAAAACCTCTGTGTTATTGGTCGTCGCATGATTGCCACTATCTCTGGAGCCGGCCGGGATCAGTGCCCAATGTTGCTGAAAGATTTCAGCGACAAGTGCTTGGATTATTGTTGTAAAGCAGAAGAAGAGATTCCGGTGAAAGAGGCATTGGAGTTGATGAGGCAAACACTGTATCGTCGGCGTGAAGTAGGAGTAATCGTCGTGGGGTGGGAGGGCGGCGATCCCGCCTTGTATCGGGTGGACGGTTGTGGGGTTGTGATTAAAGGGACGAAGATGTTGGCGACGGGGTGTGGATATAGAGAACCTATGCTTCTCTGGACTTGGCTTGTCGTGTCATTAATAGAGAAATAACTTTTCCTCCAGGTGATGCCACAACTAGTAAGCAGTCTCCGTGTCACCAGCAGCTCGACGACGACGACAACGGCGATTTCACTTCCGAGATCTGTCTAGAATGTATCGGGCTACGACCTATGAGTGTTAGGAGAGATACGTTGGAGCGCAGCTTCTAGCAGTAGTTGTAGGCAAAGATGCCATCTTGGGATAACCCTTGCCCCTCCCGTTTCTACCTTGTTAGTACCGTAAGAGCCGGCCGGGAAACGGAGAGGCGACGCCGAAAAGGAGACGGGGGCCAATGGTTTTTAATTTCGAGAGAAATTAGAAATTGTTAATTTATTTTTTCAGTAATTAATTAATTTAATAACTAGGATGAATTAACTAGAGTTAAATTTGAGTGGGATGGGTTTAATGAATAGGACACTTGACAATATTTTAAATAGTGTGATTAGTAGAGCACTATATCCTGTGCCAGATGCAGATAAAAGTAAGAAGTTAAGTGAATTTGTAGATGAAAACGATAACTGGAAATGGCTTGAGATATCACACTGGTTGTCTGAGGAAGTCATCAAATATATAAGGGCTGTTCCTCCTCCACAAAATGCTATGGGGGAAGATAGAGTTGTGTGGAGCTCGACTGTCTCTGGTAGATGTACTACAGCCTTTGCCTTTCAGGCCCTGTATGCTGGTAGGTGAAGTTGCAAAGAGAGGAAGTGGGAAGCAGTGTGGAAATGGCAGGGTTCGGAGAAGATTAAAATATTCTTATGGCTTTTGATGAAAAAAGCTTTGCTGGTTAATGCAGAGAGATGTCGGCAACACATGACCGAGGATGGGAGTTGTCACATTTGTGGGGTTCTGGAGACGAAGCTTCACGTCTTTCGTGACTGTACTCACAGCAAATGGATTTAGCAGTCTATTAATCCTTCGCTGGAAGCAAGTTTTTGGGAGGAGTTAGACCTCCAATCATAGATTTTATCTAACTTATTGTCTTCTACCTTGCATGTTGGCTTACCTTGGAAGATGTGGTTTGCTACTGCTTGTTGGAAAATTTGGACTGCACGCTATGAGGAAATTTTCGATGCAGCTAAAAAAAAGAGAACTGTTATTGATTATAAGAGCTGCAATAAAGGAAATAGCCTGGACTAATGAGGGTTTCAAAAGGAGGACGATTGGATTACCAGCGAACACTTTGTTTTTGTCTTGGAAACCCCGCCGGTGGGCAGCATTAAGATAAATACGGACATGGCAATTGATCCTCTTCTTTGCTCTGCGGCTGCTGGAGGAGTATTCCGGGATAGCTCTGGCAACTGGCTATCAGGCTTCTCTATCAACGTTGGTTTTTGTTTAGTAACGGAGGCGGAGCTATGGGAGGTGTTCTACGGCTTGAATTGTGCTGCTTCTTTTGGCTTCCCTCATATAGTAGTAGAGGTAGATTCTTTTGAGGCTATGTCTCTACTGCTGAATATTGAAGATGAACGACTCCAGTCTAACCTGCTGCGTAGAATTAGATTCCTACTTAAACGCAACTGGTGCGTGGAATTTAGTCATGTACTTAGGGAATGTAACAGTGTAGCGGATCTGTAGGCAAAGAAAGGTCTACATCAGTTGGGTGGGTTACATATTTTGGCACAGCCCACCGACGCGGTACAAACCGTCTTTTTATTAGATAGATCGGGCACTCCTTACCTAAAGAGCAGTCATTTGTAATTAGTCCGTTCTGCCACATTATAAAAAAATATATATGTATTTTAAATAGTGTCATGGGTAGTGTACATTATTGTGGCACAGAAGATCCAGAGCCGTGAGTTTCCTATGTTGAACAAGAGTATGGCTGATTTAATTTCCAACATCGTTCACTTTTTCGTTTTCGAAGGACAAAAAAAATAGAATAAAATGAGAATAATGTCGTCCTTAAAAAATCAACTAAAATTGCATGTTAACGCTTAAATGATAAAATTTGACAACAAATAATAATAATGAAATAAAATCAACGTCACACACGTCTCGGTAAATAATATCAAGCACCTGCAAGGTATACTTAGTCAGCGCGTGTATCATAAACTCAGCCAAAAAAAAGTGGTCATTTTAGTCCGGATTTTATGCCGCCACACGCACATCTAATCCCCCAATTTATCTTTTTTTTTGGCATTTAATCCCCTAACTTTATCCTTTTTTTTAGTACACGTTTAATTTAAACTTTTTTTTACTTATCCTGTTAGTTTTATATTATTTTATTTTATGATAATTTTTTTTTAAGATGGTTTTTATTTTGGTAACATTTAATATGGTTCATCATCGAGACTTATGAATCTAGAGAATCAATTGGAGCAAAAAATTTCAACTGATTAACAATGGAATCCAAAAATTAAGCGTCAAATTTGGAAGATTTTGATGGATAACGATATTGTTTTGGATGAATAATGGTATACTTATCGATGAATAATGATAATATTGTGGATGAATAATGGTGTTCTTATAGTGACAACGTTATTGACGAAAAAATTTAAATTTTTTAATGAATGACGATATTCACAAAGATGAATACGATGCAAATCTGATAAATAAAGATCCCATTCTAAATGAATAACAATATTAATGAAGAATAGTTGTGGTTTTGCAAGATGAATAATTGTACTTTAATGAATGAATAATATACGTTAATGGATATATACACACACATACACACGTTAGTGGATGAATAAATTTGATAACAAAAGTATATATTATAATGAGTTACTATCTGTAACTAAACTAATAAACTTCTAATTATGTATTATACTAGACAAAAAATGAACAAAAAAACTAGTCATTGTTTCTAAAATATAAGGTTTTGAAGGATTTGTCAATGTTCGATAGGTTTATGTTTATTGTTTGATTTCAGTAACTCTGACAAAATATTTGATTCAAGACTGATCGACTTCATCTTGATTAGCATTTCTTTGTTGCTGATCAAACAAAAAGAACATTATAATAAGTAAGATTTCCATTCAATCAAAACTCTGTTAATCATCAATAATAATGCTATTGAAGATAAATAATTATTTTGAAAATGATGAAGTAGCATTAAAATTACATAAATCGAATCCAGTTAATAACAATTGTGTACATGTACATACTCAATGATGAATAACAACATCATTGGTGATAAATGACATATCTTTGCATGATGAATACACATATCTATGGAATGAATAACACATGTTAAAAGGATGAATGACATATATTGACAGGATGAATAACACAATTTTACATGATTAATAACACATATTTATAATCGTGTACATTCACATATTACATGATGAATAGCAATTCATTAAAATGAATAATATTTCTTTGCAGGATAAATGATGTTTACAGTATGACTAACACATATTCAAATGATGAACTATTCGAATTCACATGATGAATGATATACAGTCACGTGATTATATTAGATCACTCTTTAGATGAATAACGACATAGTAGAGGATGAATAACCACCATATTTGTATATACCTAATTCAGACCAAACGCCTACAATGAACAGAATACTTAATGAATAACATCTTAATAGACGATGAATAAGATTAACATGATGACTAATCTTCAGATCTGCATACACCCAATCCAAATCAAAATATCAACAGTGCACATATAACATGATGAATAACATATTCACATGAGATGAATAATCACTTTTAATGGGATGAATAATGAGCATATCTAGAAAAGACTTCCAAAATCAACAACAAATGAATGGACAAAACTAAAACGTTGGTGAACAACCATTTATACTCGAATGCATAGTCCTTAAATCTACATAACCCAACCAAAAAACTCATCAATCGTTGAATAGATTAATAGTATTACCTCTTTCTCTCTTCAGTCATTAAGTTGCTCTTATTCGAATCAGAATATACAATCGTAGCCCTCAACACGAATATTTCAGAAAAATAGAATTATTAGAACTTCATACATGGAAGAAACAAGAAAAACCGATGAATAAAATCATGTGTTACCTTAATTCTCACGTTCAGCGGAGTATATTGCAACCAAACTCACGGAATTGGATGCAAAATCTGACTCCTTCTTCAAAAATACCGCCGACGAGAGGTTTTATTGCCAAATTGCTGCAGAGAAGAATATTTGGTTTTTCAGATTTTTTTTGTTTGAGACGGAACAGATTGAATGGAATAAGAAGATGGATATGGTTAATGGCTGAAATTTATGAGAAAAGGATGGCTATGAGAACTTTAAAATAAAAAAATCCCGTAAAAAGGGGGGCTTTAATGGCGCGTGCATATCACTTAAATGACATTGATGTAAATATTGGTATCTCTCCTATTTTTGGCCGTGTGTTTAACAAACTAGAACTCTGAAAAAATTGGCGTTCATACCTAAAACTTTGACTTCACCATCAATTCTACTCTATTGATTTTCAGTTAGGCAATTTTGTCCTTACTGTTTGAAATTTTTGTCAATTTCACCCAATTGGCTCAATTTCTGTTAAACTTAACAGATTTTCGTTAGTTTTTAACCTTAAACACCCCGATAGTTTCATAAAATTATAAAAAAAATTCTAAAAAATAAAAATAACAAAATAGCCTTTTTTTATTCATTTTTTCTATTTCATTTTTATTTCTCTTTTCTACTTTTCGTGACCATCAAAAAAATCTGTAAAGACAAGTCTTTCCTCCCTGACTTCCTCTAATTCATAGTTGAGTTACGAAACATAAATTTTACTTGATCTAGCCTCAAATAATTATTTTGTTTGTTGTAATAAAAATAATACAAGTCAGGTAGTATAAATTAGTAAGTATTTTGCTAAAAAATACATGTATTTATCTTTTTCATGAAATTCAATGATTGCTTATATAGCTTAGCAATCGCCAATTGGTAAAACAAAAAATTTAATTATTAAAAAAGAATAAAAATAGTGTTAACCAAATTTACAGAAATTCATTGTTGATTAATTAAATTAGCAGCTTTTCATGTTTCAAATGATTTTCTTATTTTTATATTATAATCTTTTTAGGTTAGATCAAGTAAAATTTATGTTTCGTAACTCACATATGAATTAGAGGAAGTCAAGGAGGAAAGATTTGTCTTTGCAGATTTTTTTTTATAGATTTTTTGCTTTTTATTTATAATAATAAACTATTAATTTTCATATTTATTTGAACTTGATTTTTTCCTCCTCATTTTCTTTATCTTAATTTTTTATAATCTACGAAATAAAAAGGTAAATCAATTATTAAAATTTAAAAATTATACTAGTATCAATATATACAAGTCAGGAAATATGAGAAAAAGAATATCAAAAAATAACGAATAAAAAATAAATTTAAATTTTAAAAAATTTAAAAATTTGAAAATGATAAAATTACCCCTGGACCCAAACCACATGTGTTGCACATGAAAAATAGAGTTTGAAAATAAATAATTATTTTTTAAGATCATATAATATATTTTGATGGTTATGAAAAGTATTAAAAAGGAATAAAATGAAATAGAAAAAATGAATAAAAAGGGACTATTTTGTTATTTTTAGATTTTTGGAATTATTTTTATAATTCGCTGAAACTATCAGGGTGTTTTTTGGTTAAAAACTAACAGAAATCCGTTAAATTTAATGGAAATCGGGCCAATTAGGCGGAATTAGCAAAAATTTCAAACAGTAAGGACAAAATTGGTTAACCGAAAATCAATAAGGTAGAATTGACGATGAGCCAAAAAATTTGGGTATGAACGCCAATTTTTTCTAGGAGCTCTATATTATAATTGCACACACCCCCTTGATGAAATACTTGATCAACTAACCCAAATTGATTACCTGTGACGAATCAAATACTCTTCAGTCCCAAAATTATTAATTTAGAATTTCACTTTTAGTTCAATTGTAGTAAAACTAAAAATTGTACTCCCTCCGTCCCATAATTATTGTCCAGTTTTACTAAAATGAAAGATTTTATTTTTGGTCAAACTTAACTATATTTTACCTTAAACAACCAGATATACCCATACATAAATAATTATTTAACCACTAAGATTTTATGGATAATATTTTTTACTAAGGACAAATGTGTAACTTGATCCATAAAAAGTCAAATTGGACAATAATTTTGGGACAAAATTTTTTGGGCAAAGTGAACAATAATTATGGGACGGAGGGAGTAATAATTTCGGGACGGATAGATAGAGAATTAATTAACTTTTTTGCTTCCCTCCCTTTATTATGCCGCGGATATCCTGTTGAGTAGCTAGCTGGCTCTACTACAAAAACTTCCCACCCAATCAGTCAGCATTTTCATGATTCCTCTGCCGGTGCCGGCCATCAACAAGGTCGTGAACATTTTCCGGTCACGTACAGAGAGAGAGAGAGGGAGGACTCTTGTCACCATCATGGTTATCACAAAATCGAAACAGAGAATAATTCATTAGCTGCTGACACGGATTGGCGAGATCAATCACAAAATGGGCTTAGATTCAACCTTTTGTACTAACAAACACCAACAGAATAACCGTTTCTGAAATTCAAAAATTGATAAAATTTTAATTTGCAGCTATTAAAAAAAAATGCAATTAAAAGACCCTCCTCACAAGCACCAACAATTTTCAATTTTCATCGTCAATATATTAGGACTACCAAGAGTCGGCTTAACAGTAAGTAGTATAAAACGCGTGCCCGGTGTAACTCAAGAGACAGAGTGGTCGCCTGTAAAACACGCGCCGCCACCATGGAA